CTACCAGGTAGTTGGTTGCAATAAAAGCTCTTAGAAGGAATTCTGACACACATATGTTTTCTGATAAACAAGTAGTAAGTAAAGGAGCCGTCTTTTTCCTTTCATGCACTGTACCTCAGGGCAGCGAACTTTATATGACCTTCAGCCACTCTGTGAAGATGAAACACCAGAAATAGAACATCACCATTTTCCACCCCATCTTGACTCAGTGGGTGCAGGCAGCGAGCCCCTCTGACTAACACCACAGCGCAGACCAGATCTTAGAGAGGAATGGAGAGAGAGAATCTTCAATCAGTTGCCTCCCCTACGGGCCAAACTGGGGAGCGAACCTGCAACCTTTCGGTGTACAGATGATGATGGAGCAGTAAGTGCTTTTAAAGAACAGTATTCTTCTGAGGCTTGTTCTGTTGCTCAGCATTATGTGTGTAAGATTCGCCCAAGTTATAGCTGTAGTTCATCCAGTTCACTTCTGTGTTGTCTTCCCTTGTATGAATTGGCTCATTTGGCTGGCAATGGATATTTGAGTTGTTTTCAGGTTTTGCTATCACAAGGTGTGCTGCTATGAACACATCTGGGACACATATGCATGTATTTCTTTAAGGTAAATTTTCCTGGGAGTGGAATTGATGGGTCACAGGGTAGACACTGACTGAGAAGTGCCAAACTGTCTTCCATGGTATTTGTACCAAATTACACCTCTCCGTCGACATTTCCATTGCTCCACGTCCCTGCCAACTGTTGGCATTTCAAACTCCCTAACTTCTTTCCTAATCCAGTGCTTGTAATGGTGTTTCATATGGTCTTCATTAGCAAGGAGCATTTCTTTGAGGTTGAATGTGATTTCCTATGCTTATTGGAAAATAAAATCACTGAGTCTGTGATTGCTCATTCATGTTTTTGCTCATTTTCTATTGGTCCACTGCATTTTATGTATTTATTTAAATATTTGTATTGATTTGTATTGATTTTTTAAAATATATTTTATTGATTTTTTCACAGAGAGGAAGGGAGAGGAATAGAGAGCTAGAAACATTGATGAGAGAGAAACATCCACCAGCTGCCTCCTACACACCCCTTACTGGAGATGTGCCCTCAACCAAGGTACATGCCCTTGACCAGAATTGAATCTGGGACCTTTCGGTCTTCAGTCCAACGCTCTAGCCACTCAGCCAAACCGGTTTTGGCTGTGTTGATTTTTAGAGAGAGAGAGGGAGGGAAAGGGAGAAAGAGGAACATCAATGTAAGAGTGATTGGCTGCCTCCTGCAGCAGCCTGCTGGGAATCGAACCAGCAATCTTTGAGCTCACAGGATGACACACTGGCCAGGGCCACTGTTGTTTATTTGTAGGAGCTCTTTACGTATTCTGAACCTATCCTTTGAGAGTCTGTTTAATGTGATCCGTGTGCCAGACCACAGGATTCAAATCTCAATCCTGCAACTGTGAGGCCTGGACAAAGCACCAGGCTTCTCTGCGTCTCCGTTCCTCGCCTGTGACATGAGATGGGCCAAGACTTATCTCTTGTTATGGACAAATGCTGGGGTCCTCCCCAGATTCACATGTTGAAGCTCTAACCCCCAACAGGATGGTGTGTGGCGGTGGGTTTTAGTGTTATTAGCTTTCGGTGAGGAGAGGGTGGGGATGCGGTGGAGTCTGAGAAGGAGGGAGAGGCGCGCAGCACAGCGGAGCGGCCCACTCGCCAGAAGACTCACCGGAACTGGCCTGCCCGCACCGCGACCGGACGCCCAGGCTCCAGAGGAGACATGGCGTTTGCTGCAGCCGCCGGCCTGACTGCGATGCCTCCCGGTTCCTGTGAGGTCACGGGAGACCACACGGAGGTGCTCGGGGCAGCGCCTGGGCAGTGGCCACAGGGGCCAGGAGAGTAAGCATGTGCTGTTTCGTGGGTGACGAATGCCTGCTCTGAGTCAGAGGAGTTTTCATTTTCATAGTGTTTTAGGCAGGTTTTTTCCTTTAGTGGCTCAAGTGCGGCCTTAACTTGGTGAAGTCAAACACCTGCACGTTGCTGGTTAGGTAAAGCGACAGGCGGGACCCGGAGAAACTGGCGCCGGCTGTCAGCTCTTCCCACAGGCCGACAGAAACATCGATTTGGTGTTCATTGGCTCAGGCTTGTATGTGCCCGGACCAGAGTGGAACCCACTCCTTCCCCCAAGAGGACGGCGCTGCAGCCTGGGGCGCCGGCCGCGGCTCCCTTCCCGGGAGGTCTGGCTGCGAGCGCCCCCTGCCGAGGCCTCTGTGGTGGCATCTGTCTCCTTCCCGTCACCTGGCTCTGCTCTGCCCGCACGGTCCTCCTCCTCAGCGGGTCTCCCGCACTCCCTGCCCCCTCCCACCAGGCTGCCCCCAAAGAGAAGCCCAGGAACTGGCTGCTCCCACGGCTGGTCTGGTCAGCGCCCCCTGCAGTTGTGGGGAGAAGCCGGCCTGCCAGAGCTGCATGGCTTGAGGATGAGGTGGATCCTGAAAACATAATGTGCGTGTGTGGGGGGGGGGGGGCATAAAAGAGGCAGCAGAGCGGCAGACACCTGTACGGATCTGCGCCCGCTCTCCCGCGGGCCTGGGGGCGGATGTGGGCCGTGTCACAGGCTCTGCTCCTGCCAACACCGGACACCGATGCTGGCGGGAAAGAAAGCCTTTATTCAGGACTCTTGTCACACAGCCCATCTCCACGCTGGTGCGGCAGAGGCTTTGATAAGGACGGGGACGGGGATCGCACAGCGAGACGGAGGGACGCTCCCACAGGCCCTGCGAGCCTTTGGTGCCGGGCCATCCTGGCTCCAAATGGCCGGAACTGGATGGCGGAGGGCCTGGTCTGCACCTTCTGACGTTAGTCCCTAGGACTCCATTCAAACGTGCTGCTGACTTACAAGCTGCTTATTAGCCAGAGTCGGCATTTACAGCGACAACCCTGCACTTCCACTGCGCACCTGCACGCCAGGGCACTAATGGGGCAGGATCAAAGCGCCCTGTTTGTGAGGCGTGAGCAGAGCCTGTGGCTTGGCAGCCAGCAGGCAGCTGGGAGGAGGCGGCCGGAGGGGGCCTGTGAGCTGGCACAGGAGCTCTTTCCCGGTCTCTGTGAGATGCCAGCCAGGTTTTATCAAAAGCTTCCTCCTTCTTCGAGCGGCACTTTGGGGCAAATAAAAGGGGAGATGGTTGTGGGCTCCCAGGGGGGAATGTGGACGGAGAATGGGATGAGGAGGGACTGCAGGGCCAGGGGCTGAGGTGACAGGTGCCCACGATGGGACCTCAGTCCGCAGTCATCGCACCTGAAGTTCCCTGAGCATCAGGCCCGCTCTGAACGTGTCCCACACGTTAACCCATTGCTTCTCACAACAGCCCTCCACAGTACGTCCTATTGTTACCCCAGAACAGAGGAGGGGAAACTGAGGCACAGAGAGGTTAAGGGACTCTTTGCTGGCACCTGCCTCACACGGGGGGTGGTCTTGGCTTGTCTACAGGGAGAAGCCCGTTTTATGACCCTCTTTTGGCGGCCTTACCGCGGAGGGACTCCGATACTGTAGTGTGTCTATCGGTCCATGTGGAAGGACAGAGTTCAGAAAGGTGAGGGACATCTGGGGGCCACAGAGGTGACAGGTGTGCCAGGGCAGGAGACCTGTGCTGACGGTGGAAGATTTGCTCGGACAAAAACTGCTGAATTTCTGGTCTCTCAGAGCGATTTTGCCCATTTCCAACGGCCCCAGCACCCTTTGGGGGAAATACTGCTCCCCGGACTTGAGCCGTTGTGGGCTATGCAGGTGTCACGGTCCCTGGTGGGCCCCTCTCACCCAGAGCAGCCAGCCTTCCACGTCAGCCCTGCCTCGTCAGGAAGGCGGAGATGGCGTCCCATGGCGACTCCCGCTGTGCATGACTGAGGCGTTACAAGGATAGAGAGAAGGATGAAGAGGCACCAACAGTGAGGCATGCACAAGAAAGGCACAGTGAGAAACAGACAGAGAGAAAGGGATGGCCCTAGCTGGTGAGGCTCAGTGGATAGAGCATCAGCCTGCAGACTGAAGGGTTCAGGGTTCTATTCTGGTCAAGGGCACATGCTGGTGAAAAGGGAAAGAGGTGCCGAAACCGGTTTGGCTCAGTGGATAGAGCATCGGTCTGCGGACTGAAAGGTCCCAGGTTTGATTCCAGTCAAACACATCCCCAGTAGGGGGTGTGCAAGAGGCAGCTGGTCGATGTTTCTCTCTCATCGATGTTTCTAGCTCTCTATTCCCTCTCCCTTCCTCTCTGTAAAAAATCAATAAAATATATAAAAATTAAAAAAAGGAAAGAAAAAGAAAAAGGAAAGAGGTATTATTCAAGTGTTTTGGTCCCTAGTAGGGGGCATGCAGGAGGCAGCCAATCAATGATTCTCTCTCATCATTGATGTTTCTCTCTCTCCCCCTTCCTCTCTGAAATCAATAAAAGTATATTTTTATTTTTATTTATTTATTTATTTTTCATATTTTATTGATTTTTTTTAACATATTTTATTGATTTTTTTTACCCCCCTCCCTCCCTCCCAAAAGTATATTTTTAAAAATAAAGAAAATCAGCGTTTAAAAGAAGGAGAGGGATACAGACAAGACCAAAGGAGATGAGAGTGATGGACAGAGTGGGCCTGAGATGGAGAAGAGATGATGTCAGGCAGAGAGAAAAGGTCAGATGGAGAGAGGGAGAGTCAGGCACAGCAGGAGACACACTGACCTCCTTCTAGGAACTCCCACTCGGGCAGCCAGTCCTCCCTCGGCTCTGCCCTCCTCTCCTGGTGTGGCCAAGCCCATTAAGCTGCTCTCCAGCCACAACTGAAGGCCCCACGCCCCGGAAGGAAACCACTGAAGAGGCGTCCGAGCTCCCCTCACCCAAACCATCAATTAGTGTCAATGAAGGAAGGCTTCCCTCTGCGTAAAGACCCCCGTGGGGCCCAGCTGACGAGGAAGCCCCACCTCCGTGACTCAGGAGGTTAAAGGCCGGGGCCAGCCTGGGAGCCCGGAGTGTCCAGATGGCGTGCAGCAGTGGGAAGGTCACCATCCAGCTGGTGGACGAGGAGGCAGAACCTGGAGCCCAGGGCCCGAAGCTTTTTAGAGGCCAGAGCTACGAGGCAATCCAAGCAGCCTGCCTGGGTGCGGGGATCCTGTTCCGAGATCCCTACTTCCCCGCTGGCCCTGATGCCCTTGGCTATGACCAGCTGGGGCCGGACTCAGAGAAGGCCAAAGGAGTGGAATGGATGAGGCCCCATGTAAAGTGTGGCTGGGGGCTGGGGCTGGCTCTAAGGGAAGAGGGGCTGAGGCCTGGACTCCTATGCCTAAGGGAGGAGGGCTGGGGCCTGGACTCCTGGGTCTGAGGGCCTGGACTCCTGGGTCTGAGGGAAGAGGGCTGGGTCCTGGGCTGGAGGCCTGGACTCCTGGGTCTGAGTGAGGAGGGCTGGGGGCCTGGACTCCTGGGTCTGAGGGAGGAGGACTGGGTCCTGGACTGGGGGCCTGGACTCCTGGGTTTGAGGGAGGAGGACTGGGTCCTGGGCTGGGGGCCTGGACTCCTGGGTCTGAGGGAGGAGGGCTGGGTCCTGGGCTGGGGGCCTGGACTCCTGGGTTTGAGGGAGGAGGGCTGGGGCCTGGGCTGGGGGCCTGGACTCCTGGGTCTGAGGGAGGAGGGCTGGGACCTGGACTCCTGGGTCTGAGGGAGGAGAGCTGGGGCCTGGGCTGGGGGCCTGGACTCCTGGGTCTGAGGGAGGAGGGCTGGGGCCTGGGCTGGGGCCTGGACTCCTGGGCCTGAGGGAGGAAGGATCACTGTGGGACCAGCTCAGAGCAGGCTCAACCACTCTGGGCCCAGGAATCCAGAGAAGCCTACCGCGTGCCCAAAGGCTTTACAAGCCTCTCGCGGGGTTGGAGACGCTCGTTACTCTGGAGCGATGAGGCAGGAGGGGACCCAGGTGCCTGACCTCCCAGCTGCTCCTTCCCTCCCTTTCCTGGCTGAGGCCTGGATCCCCATCCCCCCAGGAGTTCTGTGCTGAGCCCCAGTTCATCTGTGAGGACATGAGCCGGACAGACGTTTGCCAGGGGAAACTGGGTGAGACCACGGAACCCACTTAAGTCCCAGATCCTGCAAGATGCAGTTGGGACCCTGACACCTCCCCCGCCCTCAGCTCCCCCTCCTCCCTCCTCTCCCTGGGCCTTAGCCTTCTCTCCTCCAAGGTAACTGTTGGTTTCTCGCTGCCGCCGCCTCCCTCACTCTGCACCCCAGACTCTTGTGCCGAGTGGTGCCCCCTGGACAGGGTTTCCGGGACCACTATGCTGGCGTCTTCCACTTCCAGGTAAAGCTCCGCTCCTCTGCTCACACCTGCTCCCCCAGGCGACTGGTTTCCTAGATGGCATTGTTTCGTTGGGGCTGGAATTTTGTTTTGTTTTGGATATATTTTATTGATTTTTTACAGAGAGGAAGGGAGAGAGATAGTTAGAAATATTAATGAGAGAGAAACATTGACCAGCTGCCTCCTGCACACTCCCTAGTAGGGATATGCCCGCAACCAAGGTACATGCCCTTGACTGGAATCGAACCTGGGACCCTTGAGTCCGCAGGCCGACGCTCTATCCGCTGAGCCACACCGGTTTCGGCTGGGGCTGGACTTTGGGACAGGTACAGCGAGGTCAGGGTCGGGCTGGGCGGGCAGGGCTGGCGCTGAGCGGGCCTGTCCCTCCCACCAGCTCTGGCAGTTCGGCTGCTGGGTGGACGTCGTGGTGGACGACAGGCTGCCCGTGCGCGAGGGGAAGCTGATGTTTGTGCGCTCGGAGCAACGGAACGAGTTCTGGGCCCCCCTTCTGGAGAAGGCCTATGCTAAGTAAGGACCCCCCAACCCGACATCCCAGCCTCAGGAGACCCCGATGCCCTCCTGAGGGCTCCAGACCAAGTCACAGCCCGGGGACCCAGTGCACACCTCCCTGGAGCCCTCCACACCGTAACTCCTTCCTCTCCTAACCAGCCGCTCATTCTTAGAGACCACCAACCAGGCCCCTTACAGGCCCCTGGGGAGACCTATAATCTCAGACAGTCTCTCCCGATCCACTGAGAAATCCAAAGCACTCCCCAAAATACTGGGTGTAAGACCGGGGACCCTCAAACCTTCGCCTTTCCCCATCCTGTGCATCTGAAATCCCTGACAACCCCATGGGGATTACCCCAAAAGGAGTCATCGATCTCCCAGAGACTCCTCCTGACTGAGCTCTCCTGAGACCCTAGATCACTCTGTCCTGGTGGCCCAGGAACCAAAGGCTCCCACGGCCCCACCTCAGAGTCCGCACATTTCGGAACAGCCCCTGGGCCCCACACCCTGGGAGAGATGCCCGCACACGCCTCAGGCACCCCCATGCCAGACCTGCTCCCACAGGCTCCACGGCTCCTATGAGGCGATGCGAGGCGGCCACATGAACGAGGCTTTCGTGGACTTCACAGGTGGTGTGGGCGAGGTGCTCTACCTGAGACAAGACATTGCGGGCCTCTTCTCGGCCCTGCGCCACGCCCTGGCCAAGGAGTCCCTCGTGGGGGCCACTGCAGTGGTGAGAGAGCCGGCCTCCTGTGGAGACCCCCAGGCATTCCATGTCCTCCTGTCACTGGTGGCTCATTCTCTTTCTCAAACCAAACACGAGCAAGTTGAAAGGATGTTTATTTGCTCTCATAATGCATGAGCTTCAGGCACAGCTGGATCCAGGTGCTCAGCAGACATTGTGAATGTGTTTTTCTATCCCTGGTTCTATTTCTGGGTTAGCTTCACTTTCAGGCAGGCTTTCCCTTCATGGACCCAAAAGAGGCTCTCACAGTTACCTCCCACCACTCCAGAGTTAAGAAAGGAAAGTACCTCTTTTGAGAATCTCAGCAAAAGCCCAACATAGATATTCATGGGCTCAGCCTTGGTCATATGTTCATCTGTGAGCCAATTACATGCTCATTCACTCACTGAGTCGGTCTAACTCATTCATTCGTCCATGTATGTAACCCTGTGCTCAGTGACCCACTTGCTTTGTCTTTTATGTTTCTCTGCCTCTTTCTCTCTGCCTGACTATTCTTCATCTTCTCTCTCCTTCCATCTGTTTTGTCTCTTGTCTCCATCTCCCTCTCTGCTTCCTCACGCCCTTCACTCACCAACTCCTGCCTCCCCTCGGAGCCTGGGCTACTCGGTTGGTGCTCGAGAGGAGCACCCCCCAACCCCCGGCTGCAGCCCCAAGTCCCAGCCACACACCCAGCCACATGGGACCCTCTGATCGGATAAAGAGCAGAGAAGGCACAGAGGAGAAGGAGGGTCCTGACCTCAATGCGGCCTCACCATCCTGTCCTCTGCCCAGAGCACTCAGGGCGAGTACCGTACAGAAGACGGGCTGGTGAAGGGACATGCATATTCTGTCACGGGTACGCACAAGGTGAGCAACCCCACGGGCGGGCTGGCAGTGGGCGTCCGGGCGCTGGCCCCCACTGACGCTGTCGCCCTCAGATGTCCCTGGGCTTCACCAAGGTGCGGCTGCTGCGGCTGCGGAACCCCTGGGGCCGTGTGGAGTGGACCGGGCCCTGGAGCGACAGGTGGGAGGGCTCTGGGGTGGTGGGAGGGCTTGGCCCCACCTGCCCCTCCCTCACACCCTGGTCTCCCCAGCTGCCCACGCTGGGACGTGCTGCCCCCTGAGTGGCGAGATGCCCTGCTGGTGAAGAAGGAGGACGGTGAGTTCTGGTGAGTAGGAGAAGCCCTGGTGGGCGCAGGGAGGGGCCGGTCCTGCTTAAAGGGACGTGGGAGGCTCCCGGGGAGGGGTCCCAACGGGAGGAGCTGTCCCTGTGAGCGGTGATTGGGGGTGGGCTTCCAGCTGGAGAGCTGAGGATGAATTAGTAATAATATTAGGGAGACTGGGAGGCATAGTAACCTCTGGGAGGTTGAGGGGGATGGAGAATATTCAGAGCAACTGAGGGGTCTTTGTGACACCTGCGGCATTTTTTTGAGATTTGGCAACACTGAGGGGCTGAGGGACATTTGTTGGTAATTGAGAGTCTGAGGGTCTTGATATTTGTGGGCTGAAAACAATTAGACAACGAGGGAAGTTGGTGGATCTTAGCTATTTGTGGGGCATTTATGAGGATTTAGAAATTTGGGGGAGCTGGAGGAGCACTCCCCAACCCCGGCTGCACCCCCAAGGAGGGAAGTTGGCTGGGCCTGTGGCTGGAGGGTTCAGAAATTTGGGGGTCATTCCGGAAGCTGCAGGGTGCGTGCCAGTACTGAGGAAGTGGGGGGCCTTGAGATTGGGGGATGGGCAAGGGTGACTCCAGCCCCTTTCCAGGATGGAGCTGCAGGACTTCCTCTGCCACTTCAACACCGTCCAGATCTGCTCGCTGAGCCCGGAGGTGCTGGGCCCCAGCCCAGCGGGAGGCGGCTGGCACACTCACATCTTCCAAGGCCGCTGGGTGCGAGGCTTCAACTCCGGCGGGAGCCAGCCAGCCGCCGGTGAGGCCGAGGAGACTGAGGGGCAGCCGGGGCTGCGGCAGGCCGGCCGGCCGGCCGGTAACCCCATTTCCTCCTCCTCTACCAGAAACCTTCTGGACCAACCCCCAGTTCCGGCTGACACTGCTGGAGCCAGATGAGGAGGATGAGGATGAGGACGGGCCCTGGGGGGGTTGGGGGGCAGCGTGGGCCCGGGGCCCTGCCCGCGGCGGCCGAGTCCCCAAGTGCACTGTCCTCCTGTCACTCATCCAGCGCAACCGGCGGTGCCTGAGGGCCCAGGGTCTCACGTACCTCACTGTGGGCTTCCACGTGTTCCAGGTGGGACCCTGGGCTGAAGAGAGGGGCGGGGGCAGGGAGACGAGAGGCAGAGCTGGCGGGGGAGGGGGGGGGGTGTCCGAGAAGGCCCAGAGGGCTGGGAAGCTGAAGGTGAGGGCAGAGAGACACACACAGAGAGGCAGGGTTTGGGCTTTGCACATGCTAAGCAATCAGAGGGGGCCCAGGGAGACTGGATCAGGAAGGAGGCAGAGAAGGGGGAGGGGGGCCTGAGGTTCAGGGAGGTGACAAGGAGCAAAGAAGGCACAGATGAGAGGGCGGGACCCAGGAGGCGGCAGAGAGAGGCTTGGCCAGGGGCTGAGGGCAGGGGCTTAATGAGGGTAGAATGGGAAGAAAAGAGGGTGGGGTATGGAGGGAACGCTGAGGGGCCTCCCCACCCTGACTCCCTTTCCTCCTACTTCTTATAGATCCCAGAGGAGGTGAGTCTGATGGGACCCCGATTCCAGACTCTATCCCTGAACGAGCCCCAAAGCCTCGGACAACCTGCAGGGAAGGCCAGGGGCACGCTGGGGGGACGGGTTTGCACGGGCGTTTTGGGGGGCTGCGATGGGTGCACGGCCGGGCGGGGTGACCTCGGCGGTCACGGCCACGCATCCCCGCCCCTCAGCTGCTGGGCCTCTGGGACTCCCCGCACAGCCGCGCGCTCCTGCGGGGGCTGCTGTGCGCCGACCGCTCGCGCTTCTGCGCCCGCCGCGACGTGAGCCGCCGCTGCCGCCTGTTCCCCGGCCACTACCTGGTGGTGCCGAGCGCCGCCCGCGCGGGCGACGAGGCCGACTTCACGCTGCGCGTCTTCTCGGAGCGCCGCCACGCCGCCGTGTGAGCCCGAGGGAGGGCTCGCCGCCTCCGGGGGCCCCGGTGGGTCAGCCAGGGCCCCAGGGCCCAGGACCCTGTCTGACCCCGCCCGCCCCCAGCCCCGGCGCGGGGTGAGCAGTCTCCCCATTTCCGGTCTGTAATTGCAGGGAGATAGACGACGTGATCAGCGCTGATTTGCACGCTCTCATGGTGAGGGGGTGCGCCCGGGTGGGTGTGGGAGCCCTTTTGGCTACAACTAAACTCCCCCCACCACGCAGGCCCCCGACATTCCCCTGGACCTGGGGTTGAAGCAGCTGTTTCAGGAGCTGGCAGGAGAGGTGAGGAGTGGGCTGAGGGCCCCCCACCCCAACTACTCCTCTATTCTGTCTAATCTTCCTTTGGATTGACCCCTCTCAAACCTCTCAAAATGCCCACAGCTCTTCCCTGCTTCAGGGTCTTTGCTCAGTCTGGGAGTTCTCATCCTTCGCTCCCCCTCCCCGCAACACACTCTCTGGTCTTTCTAAAGTGCCCTTCGCTGCCAGCTCTCCTGGCCCTCCCAGGCTGGTCAGCCACATGCCCCTGTGGGCTTCCACACCCAGGGCTTCCCCACTGCAGCTCTGACCACCTCCTGGGCTGTGAGCTCTGGAGAGGGCAGACCTGGCTGCCTTTGCCTATCCCCAGCACCGCCAGCATGCTGCTCGGCTGGGCCCAGGGCCCCTTGTTGAGTGGCTGCTGGAGTGAATGGCCTGACAACCCACTCTCTGACCAGGAGGAAGAGCTCAGTGCCTCTCAGCTCCAGACCGTATTAAGCATTGCCCTGGAGCCTGGTGAGTTGGGGCCAGTGTGTCCTCACAGCCCCCGGTGTGCAGTGTGTGGGAATCCGTAATGCTGCTGGGAGTGTGATGGCATCTCCTCACACGTGGGCCCTGCCCAGTGACTCATAAGCCCTCCTCTGAGGGACAGGCAACGAGTGTGGCTGCACTCAGAACTCCCTTGTCTGGGTTCAGATCCCGGCTTGTGGGTTACCAGCAGTCCTTTGTGTGCCCGTTTCTATAAAATGGGGCTGCAGTGATCCCGAGCACTCACGGTGATGCCAACCCACAGAAAGCTTGGGGTTTTGTCTGTTCCTGTAGCCAGGGCCCACAGCTGGACCCCCAGGGAGATCGGCCTCAGGACCTGTGAGCAGCTGCTGCAGTGCTTCGGGGTATACGGTGGGAGCCGTGCCTGGCGGGGAGGGTGGTGATGTTGGCACCTCTGCCCCTTCTGGGGACACTGACTGAGCCAGATGTCCCTCTCCAGCACGGCAGAGGCCTGACCCTGCACCACTTCCAGCAGCTCTGGGGCCACCTCCAGGAGTGGCAGGTAAGGGGCTTGGGAGGAGCCACGTCCTGGAAGGAGACTTCCCTAATAGGGCACAGATGCTCTGTGGGCTAGCAGGGCCCCAGGGGAGTAGGGACCACACCACACCAACTCTGGGGGATCTGGCTAGGGTGTCCCTGCTGCTTCACCTTCTGTGGCCCATCTAGAGTGGAGGTGGGAAACATTTCTGCCAAGGGCCATTTGAGCATTTATAACATCATTCATGGGCTATATAAAATTGTCTTAAAAATTAGCCTGCTAGCCGAAACCGGTTTGGCTCAGTGGATAGGGCGTCGGCTTGGGTACTGAAGGGTCCCGGGTTCGATTCTGGTCAAGGGCATGTACCTTGGTTGCGGGCACATCCCCAGTAGGGGGTGTGCAAGAGGCAGCTGATCGATGACTCTCTCTCATCGATGTTTCTAACTCGCTATCTCTCTCCCTTCCTCTCTGTACAAAATCAATAAAATATATTTTAAAAAATTAGCCTGCTATATTTAGCCAGTCAATTAACTCACCCCTAATGCCTTGGGAGGGCCAGAAAGAAAGATTTCAAGGGCCTGTATTGGGCCTGCAGGCCGGATATCCCTCATCCCTGCTCTAGGACCACTGATGAACTTAGACATTAAGAAAGAACACTGGGCCAACACCGGTTTGGCTCAATGGATAGAGCGTCGGCTTGGGGACTGAAGGGTCCCGGGTTCGATTCCGGTCAAAGGCATGTACTTTGGTTGTGGGCATATCCCCAGTAGGGGGTGTGCAAGAGGCAACTGATCGATGACTCTCTCTCATCGATGTTTCTAACTCTCTATCCCTCTCCCTTCCTCTCTGTAAAAAATCAATAAAATATGTTTAAAAAAAAATAAAAAATAAAGAAAGAAAAGAAAGAACACTGGGCCGAAACCGGTTTGGCTCAGTGTATAGAGCGTCGCTCTGCGGACTGAAGGGTCCCAGGTTTGATTCAGGTCAAGGGCATGTACTTTGGTTGCAAGCATATCCCCAGTGGGGTGTGTGCAGAGGGCAGCTGATCGATGTCCCTCTTTCATCAATGTTTCTGGCTCTATCCTTCTCCCTTCCTCGCTGTAAAAAACCAATAAAAAATGTATTTTTAAAAAGACCACTGGCCCCGGTCTGGGTTGGCGCGTTAGCTCCCAGCCCAGCCAGCCCTCTGGCTGTGGACCGCAGGCCAGCACCCCCTTGGAGGCAACTTTGCTTATCTAGCAGCGGGAGGTGATGATCCTCCCCCACCCCGGAAACCCGTGAGAAGAAATGGTCTAAGGCTTCTCTATACTAATAATGGTGACAAGCCACCATTTGTTGTGCCCTCAGCAGGCTCCCTGTGAGTGATCTTAGCGTGTCCTCACAATAACCTTGTTACAGTTCTTATTGATCCCGTTTTACAAACTGGGAAACAGACCCAAAGTGGCCAACCTGCTTCCCCACGCCGCGAAGCCAGGAAAAAGGGGAGCTGGGGTGGGCACCCGGCCTGTCTGAGGGACTGACCTATTCCTCCCACCCAGGCCATATTCGATAAGTTCGACCAGGACGCCTCTGACACCATGAACTCCCATGAGCTGAGGCTGGCACTGAACGCTGCAGGTATGGACAGAGGCCTTGGGGTGAGTCATCCTCTTGGAGCCCTAGCAGCTCACTCAGCTGCCAATACCCGCAAAGCCAACCTCTCAGCTTGTTGCCAGCTCTTAGCAGGGACCGTGACCTTGAGGCCACAGGGAGAATCCTGTGTGGGGGAAGGAAGGTGTGAGAGATGATGGGCCAGGGAGGGGGCTGGTGTCTGTGAGGCACTGGTCCCGGGGCACCGTGGCAGAGTGTCCTGTATTCCCATGAACTTGGGCTGGAATCCTAACTACTGACTTACTCCTGGGGGCCCTTTCCTGGGCATGTGAGTCCATCCCCTTGAGCCTCCATTGCCCTCTGTAAAGTGGCTCCAACACAGAGTGGCTGCAAGAGTTCAACACCCCCTTGTATGGAAGGGGCAGGGGAGGGAAATCAGACAGGAACTCCTATACCCCCACTTAACCCCCAGTGAAGTGAAGGGTAAGACACCAGGAGATCAAAGATCCAGGGATGTGCAAGGAAAGAGAGGAGCCCAAGAAGGGGGGGAGGGGGGGGATGGAATCAGAGAGAAGACGGGGAGATGAGGGACAGTGAGAAACAAAGTCCCAGAAGACAGAAGCAATGGCGAGAGAGAACGAGGAGGTGCAAGCTTGGGCTTGGTGTCACTGAGCACCTGGTACGTGCCTGGTGTGCGAGGCGGAAAAACTGATCACATGCTCTTGAGGTTCTATGGCACAAACAGCAAACAGAGCACCTCGGTCAGACGGTGATAAGCGCTAGGGCAAAAGAGAGCAGGCTGAGCTCCAGGGCATGCAGGGGTGGGAGGGCTGAGACAGGGCGGCCAGGGAAGCCTTGCTGAGGTTTGAGCAGAGACCTAAAGGAAGTGAGCTTTGGGACACTGGGCAGGTGTTCCAGACAGAGGGAACAGTGAGTGCAAAGACCCTGAGGTGTGAGCCCGCACCCTGAGGGGCTGGTGTGAAGAAAGGGCCTGAAGCCAAGTGGGGAGGGGAGTGGTGGTCAGAGTAAAGATTGGTGTTGATGGTGGGGAGACAGGAGAGCCCACGGGGCATCATGAGGACTTCGGCTCTTTAAAACTTTTTAATTCCGTATAAGAAGGGATGAGGGAGAGGCAAGTCAGGTCAGAGAGCAGGGGCTGGAGTGACGGCAGTGTCTAGCGAGGGCAAGTCCAGGGAGGGGACAAGCAAGCTCCGAGACCCAGGATCAGGTAGGGTGTCAGGATGGGGGATTACTAGAAGCAGATGTTCCAATTTAATCACATCTTTGTTCCACGGAGTCCTTGAACACCTGCCCTGCTCACACCCTGGGCAGGCTGATGTTGGGGTTTAGTGGTAACTAAAAAACCTTTCCTGACCCCCCCATGGCTTCTAGTCCAGAGGCAGCAGCTACCAATGACAGCCCAGAGTGCTCAGGGTGGAGGTGGGGAGGCCCAGGGAACTGTGGGAGCCGAGGAGGTGCTCAATGCTGCATGCTGGGTTATCTACGGGGCTTTCTGAAGAGAGATAAGGAGGAATGCCTTGGACCAAGAGGGAGAGGTGCTCTGGGCATAGGGAACAGCATGCACAAAGGAGGCAAGAAGCCAAGGTCTACATGGGGAGAGGAGGAGTGGGAGGGGAGGTTTGGTCTGTGAGGGCGTCATGTGCTTGGTACAATGGGGCCCTGGGGCGGGGTAACCAGGTCATGGTCACTAGGAGTGAACCTTGATAAACTAGGTGAGGGACTTCACCAGGACTAGGAGATCCTGGGCAGGACTCCACATCAGGCACCACAGAATAGAGCCCACAAGTAGTCAAGGAAGCTGACCGTAGGAATTCCAGAGAGCTGCTGAAGGGCTCTCGGTCCTTTCACCCCCTCTGCCTGCCTGGGTTCCCCATGGCCCTGGGCACAGCAGCTCTACCCCACCCTCACCCCACCCTGAGGGCAGATGAAGGTCAGAGGTCACACCACCAGGAGGGGACAGCCTCTTCTTCCCCCCAAGACCTTTCATGGCACCCAGACAAGGCACTTGATAATTATCCTCAAACTGTTTGTCTGGACCTGCAGCAGAGGGGCCACTGCAGCCTGCGTCCCTGTGAGTTACCTGTGATCTGGGAGAGCCAGTGTCTGCAGCTTTGAGAAGCCTGCTCAGGTTCCTCATCAGAGATGTTTTCTAAACATTAGAAATCACCCTGGTGTGGAGTATAAAGAAACTGACTCCATATGGAACAGACGTTTTGCTACACAGAAAAACCGCCCAGGGCCCACTAGCAGAAATTGTGTTTAAAGGAGTAACACTGATGCAGTTGGTATGTGCCAGACACGGCACTACGCTTTCTACGTGGACACCTTCACAGAACCTTATGGGGTCAGGGCTGCCACAGTTCCCGTTTGACAAACAAGGAAACTGAGGCCCATAGCAACACAGCTGGGTTGAGGCAGAGCTGGGAACAGGTCCCTGTGGTCTCCCTGAGGAGTCAGGGTGGGGTGCCACACTGAGGTGGGGTTCATGGCAGCCCAGGCTCAGAGGCAGCCTCCCCCTAGGCTTCCACCTCAACAACCAGCTGACCCAGGCCCTTACCAGCCGCTACCGGGACAGCCGTCTGCATGTGGACTTCGAGCGCTTCGTGTCCTGTGTGGCCCAGCTTACCCGCATCTTCTGTGAGTGCCACCCCTAGCGCGGGCTGGGCTCAGGGGCATGTCTCCCACCACAGGGGCTGGGTGGTGGGCACTCACCCGGCCCTCCCTGCACAGGCCACTGTAGACAGCACCTGGATGGGGGCGAGGGAGTCATCTGCCTGAGCCGTCAACAGGTGAGCCTGAGCGGGAGGGAAAGTGGCACCAGGCGGCTGGGGCAGGAGGCCCAAGAGACCCCTGCCTCAAGCCCACTGTCTTCTCTCACCCAGTGGATGGAGATGGCCAACTTCTCCTAGGATCTTGGCAGGGGAGCGCCTACGGCTGGAGGCGGGAGGGCTGCCGGAGCCCTGCCTTCCCTGGCACCTGGACCAGCGTTTCCACAGCGAGGGATTCTGAGCCAAACCAGCCTCCCAGCTCCTCCACCTCCCTGCCGGCATGAGGGTAGATGCGCTGGCATCAGGCAGTGCTTCTGAGCACGGCCTTGGGAGCCGGTCTGCCCCACACTCACCAGTGGTGACGCTGGGCAGGTGGCTGCCCTCCGTGCTCTGCTCTCCTCGCCTGAGAATGGGGACGCACCCTCCGTGGACAGGCTGCCCGAGGCGGCTGTGTGCTGAGAACAGTGCCTGGCCCTGACTGGGTCCCCAATAGCATTCTCATTCTACACACGCATGGGAACAGGGACTGTGGCACCCCCATGCCCTGCCCTACTCTGCGAGAGGTGCTGTATCACCACTCTGCTAAAAATGAGAGCACAGAGATTGGAGAGAAAGAGAGGATACTGTAGACTCCTTAAAAATATTACATGTTTTATTATCCTGTCCCCAGAAGGGTGGTTTATCCAGAAACCAAGAAAAAAAAAATCAATCCGAATAAAACAAAAGGGGAATGGGAAAGGAACAAAACCATCAACTAACAGGCAGCCAAGGCCAGCAGCCTACCCCCCACTCAGGAGGGTCCCCAGAGACCAATGCCTGATGGCAGACAAAAGAAAAATCAGTAAGGGGCTGTGGGAGGGGAGCAATCAGCTATGTCTTCATTATGAGAGCAAGAGGCGGCAAAGATATGTTGCTAGGTGAATATATATTTATATAATAAATCCGTAACTTAATAAAGTAAATAGTAATTCTCTGAAAGGTTTAAAATTTTTATAGGTTTTTTTTGTGATTTTGTGGGTTTTTTGTTTTGTTTTTTTGGTTTTGGTCCTTAGAAAATCTGAGAGACGCAGGTCCAGACAAAGCCAGGTGGGAGCTGGCTGGGGCAGGGGTAGAAGGCTGGGTGCCCAATCCACTCTTCTGTTGCGGAAGGGGACACTGAGCTGCACCCCCACCTCCTGGCCATCACAAAGGAGGGGAGGGGTGAAGGGAGCAGGGTGGGGTCCTCTTTCCTACTGGTAGCTGTGGTGCCCTCTGCTGGGCCCATCACAGGTGTGAGCAGTTCCTGGACAAGGCACATAGGGCTTTGGCCTAGATGTGGGAGGCCTCGCAGGGACCTCGGGAGGAGGAAGAGGCAGGCTGTGGTGGGCGTTCCTTGGGCCGGGAGAGGACCTGTTTGCTGTGGGGATCCACTGTCCCCTCCACATAGTTAAAAACAACAACAAACCAACACATCATATATATTTACCAGACCATTAGTGTTGACCCCCAAAGTCTCCTGTACCCCTATCCAGGGGGAACGAGAGAGAACCTCCTGGCCAACTGACAAAGAGAGAGGAGAGAGCCTGCCCCAGCCCCTCCCTGCCCACCCGCCCCACCCCCAGAAAGGATGACAGAGTGCTTTGCATAGATACAGATTCAGAGGAACAGGACCAGGGAGGCCCCGCAGCCCCTCCTGGAGGCTGTGAGGAGGGGGTGTTTGGTCAGGGCTCTCTGTGGGAGCCTCACAGGTCACTCTCGCCGTACAGGGCTGTAGAGAAGGACTTGTAGTCAAGGGCACCAGGCACTGCATCAGGGCCCTGGTATGGTGCCATGCGGGCGATGCAGTATTCGGCCTGGTCGGGGGGCAGCTCTCTCCGAAGCTCCTCGGCTGTGATGAAATTCTGGGGAAGGCAGGGCGGGACTTTGGGGCATCTACACCCCACATTGGCCCCCAGCCCCTCATGCCCAGTCCTGACTGCAGATCCCCTTCCTGCTGGCCCCAGGTGCTCAGAGGTGACTGGCTTACCTTGTCCCCAGCCAGGACTTTGAAGGAGGCAATGACCTGGTCGGCTGTGTCTGTGTCGGTAGTTTCCCTAGACATGAAGTCGATGAAGGCTTGGAATGTCACGAGGCCGCTGTGGTTGGGGTCGACGACGCTCATGATGCGGTTGAACTCAGCATCCCCCTGCGAGGCAGGAGTGGGGCAGGGGAAAGGCAGCATTGAGTAGGGCAGGATGGCTGGGCTGGGACAGCAGAACCGAGCTAGGAGGGCAGGGTCCAACCCCAGTGCATACTCCAAGTTGTCAGCCTGCCTCCAAGGGCCTGGATTCCCCGGGCAACTGCCCCATGAGCGCCCTCTCGGCTTCCCCTCCCACATTTTTGGGAAGTGGGGAGTGGTGTATAGAGCAAATAGGTCTGCTGCTCCTCAGCCCTAGGCTCACAAGTTAACTCTGGAGGGTGGGGAAGAAAGAAAAAGAAAGAAAACGGGGAAAGAGCTGGAGGCCTGACCTCCTCTCTCTGCAGACTTCCAAGAAAGGGAGTGGGAGGCTCAGGGAGTCATCGGAGGGACCCAGTCCAGCAGATGCAGCAGGAAGGAAGGTGAGGCTGCACTGATCTGGTGGAGGGTGTCCCTGAGGACTTGGAAACTCTAGCTGGGGTAGCACAAAAAGGAGGAGGAGGAAGGGGAGGGAGGAGGAAGAAAAGGAAGGGGAGGAGGAGCAGGAGGAGGAGGAGTGGCACAGCAGCGAGGGAGGCAGAGGCTGCATACCAGGCTGTATCCTGTGGAGATAAGCAGAGCCCTGAAGTCATCGGAGTCCATGCTGCCTGTCTGTTTCTGCTCGAGGACGCAGGGACAGCAGGAGGCCAGGCCCACAGTAGGCAAGAGGGGCAGCCCCATGTGCACAGCAGGGAACAGAACAGTGGCAGGAGCAGGGGAGACCAAATTCGGCCCCAAGAGACCAGGTAAGGGGAAGGGGTCCAGAAAGACACAGGCAGGAAGGAGGCAGAAGAACGGGTGGATGGTATACATATGGAAGGGGGTGAAATGGCAAGGGTGGGGAGACAGAGGAGAGAGAGAAAGAAGAGCAGTTAATGCCACGATCTGCTGGGGCCCAGGGGGCGCATACCTGCCGGTCATTCTCCACGTCGTAGCCCAGGCTGATGAGGCAGGCCTTGAATTCCTCTGGCCCTAGCGCCCCGCCGTGGTCCTGCCGGTGTCCAAAGGCAGGTGTGCAAGGGGCGGTGTGGAAAGCAGGCCGGCACAGAGGTGGGAGAGGGGCCAGGGTTACATGCAGAGGGCCGGGGGCCGGGGGAGACACACATGGAGGAGGGAAACACAGAGTTAGAAGTGATGTGGACAAGGCGATGGCCAGGGACAGCTGGGGCAGGTGGAGGGTGTGGGTGGCCTGGAGGGCAGTCAGAGGCTTCTTCCCACGTCCTTGGGGCTAGAGCTGGGTGAGGAGCTGAATGGTGCAGAATTGAGGATTGAGTCCCAGGACTCAGAGGGGGAGGGGCACACCTTGCCTCCAGGGTCTGGGTGGGAGAAAAGGGACTGCACTCTACCCTGTGTGAGGCCTCAGGGTCCTGCTTGATGGTGCAGAGCTGAGACTGCACCCTCCTCACCATGGTGGAAAGCAGGCAGATGACTCATCAGGCCCAGCAACGGAGAGGGACTGGGGTAAACACTGGCACTCAGGCCCTTCCAAAGGGGCTGCCAAACCAAATCTGAATTTGAAGAACAGTGTGTGTCTGCGTAAACCAGATTCACGGGTCAGGTCTCAACTCTCGGGTGTGCTCGGGCTGTCTGACCCAAGGTCTCCTGGGCAGGTTGGTGAGGAAGCACGGCCTGAAGTGGGGCTCAGGACCCCCTTTTATTCCTAAGGGAAACTGCTCCTGATGTGGGTACAGTGTGCCCATCTGCACCACCTTCCGTGGCTGAGGCCTTGCCAAGCCCTGTGAGCTGCTGCTGAGTAGTAACTCAGCCCTGTGAGTAGTAACTGTGATGTGAACGAACTGACAGATACAAAGACAGACGGGGCAAGATGATGGGACAGTGACAATGGTGACGGCAGGGAGGGTAGGTGCCAAGGGGCAGGCGGAGTTGCTCACCTTGTCAAAGTGGTTGAAGGATGCCCGGAACTCCTGCATCTGCTCCTGGCTGATGCCCTTGGCATCTCGGGTGAGGATTTGGTTCTCAATCTCGTTGATGGTGCGGGCAATGGTGGTGAGCAGCTGCTCCCAGCCCACTCGGATGTGCTGAGGGAGAAGGGAGGGTGTGACTGCAGGCTGGGCTGGTGGGTGTGCTTTGACCACCACAGCTGCAGCTGAGGGACACTTGGAACTGGGTTCTCCCCGTATGAGGGGGGTGTATAGCATGGATGATAAGCAGCCCTGACAGCGTGACCGGCCGCAGAGAGCTGGCACACACAGATGCTGGCACACACTGGCTGGATCTGTATTTTCAAGTGAGGACTCGGTGCTGAGACCACAGCGGGGGCTGGTCCTACCCTCCCAGCTCTCTTGGGAGCTTGTCCTGAGATGTGTTGTCATGGTGGGTGTAGGGAGCAGTGTTAGGAAAATAATATTAAAAAATGTGTAAACATTCTGATCTAGTCTTTTCAGTCAGGATAAGAGACAAAGGAAGCCACAAGCGCCTTTCCTATGGGACTACGTAGGGCTCTTCCGTGCTACAGATGAGGTGCAGGGGCCCGATGGGGTATAATGTACCTCCATGGTGTAGTTGGTGTGCTTGTTGTCGAAGATGAGGGCCTCCTGGATGAGCTGGTGCTGCTGCTCGAGCAGGTCCAGGTTCGGCTTGTAGTCCACAATGCTGCGCTCGTACTGCTTCAGGTGGCTCAGCTGGTCCTCCAGGGTCCCGTTCATCTCGATGGAGATGCGCCCAATTTCCTGCACATGAGCAGGTGCCACTGGAGGTGGGGCTGGCAGATCCTTGGCCACGGCCAGCACCCAGAGATCCCTGTTGCTGATGGCCTCCCTACCAGATCCTTCCTCCTGAAAGGCCTGTGGCTCAGTGATGGTCCCTCCCTGTCCCACGCTGGGAAACACAGAGTTAGAAGTGATGTGGACAAGGCGATGGCCAGGGACAGCTGGGGAAGGTGGGGGCTGTGGGTGGCCTAAAGGGCAGTTGCTGCAGTGTAAAAACAACCACACTGGAGAGTTTCTGGGCTAAGTGCTACACGTAATGCACCCTTGACTCACTGTGACAGGCCCTGTCTACAAAAGTGGAAACTAAGGCCCAGCAAAACAACTTCTCACAGTAAGAGGCAGAGGCAGATCCTGAACCAGGCCTGGCTGGTGTTAGTGGAAACTAAGGCCCAGCAAAGCAACGTCTCACAGTAAGAGGCAGAGGCAGATCCTGAACCAGGCCTGGCTCCTAAGAGGGGCCTGCCTCAGTGGCCATGCTGTGTAGCTGGCAGGGTTGACCAGCCTATATCCTTCCCCGGCTGTAGTGAGTTTCAGCGAGGCTGCGCTGGTCAGTATGAGCCTGGTGGGTAGTGAGCACTTAGTAAGAGGTGGCCAGAGTTGCAACCAGCATCATTACAAACCTTCTGTGGCTAGGCCACGAGGGGTTACTGTGAGCATGCTGCGAGGGTCTGAGCTGGGACCACCTTGATTACAGCTACACTACAGCGCCTGCAGCAGGGCCTGCACTGAGCAGCGCATGACAGCATTTGTGGAGCAAATGAAATACTAACTCTTTTCACCCCCGTTTTAGAGATGAGGAAACCGAGGAGTAAGATTAAATTGAGCCTGAGCTCACAGCACCAATCAAAGGCAGGGTCAAAACTCGAACCTACCTCCATCTGCCTCCTCAGCCAAGTAGCCCTCTGGGTGGTGCTGCCACCTCCATGCACATCACTGACCCACCCTCCTAACTTACCCAAGGGTCAGGGCTCCCCGCTGCTGAGAGCTGGGACCCACACCCACCAGGCCTACAGGTCCGCTGGCCCTGGGAGCAGATGTTAGCAGGGGCAGACAACCTTTCCTGCTCAATTCCTCCTGCTTACTGGGGCTCTTTCCCCACTCCGCTCTGGGCTCAGCAGGGCTGGGGCTAGGGCAGCGGCCCCTCACCTCCATCTTAGTCTGGATCCAGGGCCCCACGATGTTGGCTTGGCTGGCGAACTGGCGGCGGAGGTGCTCATTGGACTGCTGCTTGCTTTGCTCCTCCAGGAGGGCATGGTCCCGTTTGGGCACCAGCTGCTGCACCTGGGGAAGGGCATGGAGCAGGAGCAGGAGCAGTCAGGGTGACGGCCCCCTCACCGGGCCGGCCCTGCCTGCCCTGGCCCTGCCGAGGGACTCTCCCCACCTTCTCCCATTTGGAGTTGATGATCTGAGGGGTGACAGTGGTGTAGGGGTTGCTGCCTGACAGTTTGATATGGTTGCTCTCGGCGATCCTCTGGGCCTCCTTGTGGATGGCCAGGATGGCCTCCCGTTCCCTGTCGGCATCTGGCAGCGTTGACTTGAACTGGTCGTGGGCTGAGATCAGACCCTAAGAGAGAAGAAGGAGTGAGGTGCAACCCAGCCCCTCAGAGGTCCCACAAGAAGGATGGGTAGGGGCGGACCTCAATCTCCTCGATGGTATGGACGATAAACATGTCCTGGAGGTCCTCCATGGCACTCTCCATCCAGTTGTTGAAGGGGGCTGCCCTCTTGGCGTATTCCAGGTGCAGCTGGTCAATGGTCTCCAGCTGTTTCTCTGTTTTCTGGTGTGTGGGAAGGGGCAGGGACAGAGGAGAGAGGTAGTCAATAAGCAGGAAGTGGTGATGGGGAGGGGCCTGCAGGTCCCAATGGGTCAGTGGGTACAGCAGGCTCCAGGGTGACTTTGTCCCTCCTCACCTCCAAGGCCTCCCTGCGACTGTGGGTCAGAGAGCCAAGGGCGTCCCACTGATCGCAGATCTTCTGGCACCGAGTGTTGACATTGTGGGAGTCATAGTAATCCAGCTCACTGTAGGCAGGGCAAAGGGTGGTGAGACCTGGCAGAGGCCAGTAATGAGTGGACCCGGACCCAATTGCCCCCTAAAGTCTCAGGCTTTGGTACCAGGGAATAGCAATGTTGAAGGCTATTAGTCACCCACTACTCCTATGACTTATGGCCTCCCAGGGTAGGAAGAATTCAGGAGTGGAGGAGGGGGAGGGGATAAAGGAGTGGGCAGGGGCTTCCTCTTGCTCTCTCTCTCTATGTGCTGCTAAGCTGTGATAAACTAAATAGGTGGGCAGATAGTTGGGGGCACAGAGTGTGGCCCTTGACCAAGCTTGTATGGGGATTGCTTTCCCACTTAAAGAAAGTCGAGAACATACGCTGGTTAGAGAGCATGAGCTGAGTTCCCTACGCCTGAATTCTGGCTCCCTGATTTTGTACTTGTGTGGCCCTGAGAGAGGGAACCCTGCTTTCTTGTTTGTAAGGCGATGGTGGGGTTATCGCAGAGAGCTTGTGAAGTGCTGAGAGCAGTCCTTGACGCCTAACAGGTAAAAGTAATAACAGCTATTTATTAAAGGATGTGTATTTATTTTAATGGGTATTAACACACACACACACACACACACACACACACACACACACAACAGCCCATCCGATCTGGCTCATTGGTTGAGTGTTGACCTATGAACCAGGTCAGGGTTTGATTCTCAATCAGGGCACATGCCCAGGTTGCAGGCTCGATGTGGGACATGCAAGAGGCAGCCAATCAATGATTCTCTCTCATCATTGATGTTTCTACCTCTCCTTCCCTCCCTTTTCCTCTGTGAAATCAATAAAATATATATATTAAACACACACACCACACATACCGATAAAACTAGCCTGCAATTTAATTCTAAGCAATTGATAATTAAGAAAAAAGTAAGCTGATTAGGATACAGGTATTATTATTCAAATGATTTAGATTTTGAAAATCCTGGGCTAATAATCGTTACTGGTCCCAAGCCCTCCACATGCTCCCTGTCCCCCCCCCCCCCCAAATCCCCCATCAGCTCCAGTATTCCCATCTCCTATGGTCCAGACACTTGGATACTCTTAGTAGTAAAGCACTAGGGAATAGGTATAGAGGCAAAATCTTGGTGAACTGGTGAGGGGTGGAGAGCAGGGAAGGAACAGGACATGGGGACCAGATGATTGTGTCACCTGCCTGGATACAGGGGCAGGAGGGAGCAGGCAAGGCTAGCAGAGGGAGTGGGAGCAAGGCTATGCTCCAGAGCAGCGGTCACCAACCTTTCGGACCTCGCGGACCACGGGCTGGTGACTGCTGCTCCAGAGGGCCAGGCAGCCTGGGCTCCACTCCTGTCTTGACTGCTTCCTAGCTACGTGACCTTGGCCTCTCTATGCCTCAGTCCTCCTGTGTAACATGGGTGCCAGAAGACACCAACATTTAAGGCTATCCATCACCCAGGCTGGGAGACTGAGTGAGCAGGTACAGATAGAGCACCGAGCGCTCTTGGAGTTTCCATCATTGCCATTAATCAGGGCTCATTCTGGCTGGCTCTCAGTCCTCTGACTCATCTTTGGGGGAGCTGACAGTACCCTAAACAGGCGCGCCCCCCGCCCTCCCTCCTCTAGGGCTACTCTCCAGAAAGCTGCTTCAGGGACCGCCTGTTCCCTGGGTCAGGGTGATGGGTTTCAAATGGCAGTTCCCAGTGCCTGAGAAGCGGGCTGGTCTGGGATTTATTCAAAATGTTTCTTAGCAGCTTCCAGGGGCTCGCCAGCCAGCTAAGAAACCTACTCATGTGCCACTCCCCATGACCGCTGCAAACTGTGTGTGTGGCCTTGCCTTGCTGTCCTTGGCCTGGGTGTGCCAAATGCAGGAGCTCTATCCTAGGAGAGTCTGCAGGACCCCAAGGGGAGGCCCCAGCAGGGACCCTGTATTCCAGTACAGAAAGGCCCCATAGGACTTCTGCCTCTGGTGAGCAAACGGGGAACCCCAAGAAACTAGGCAATATGGAGCAAATGAGTCAGGGAATATGCTGGCCCTCCCTGGCATGGGGCAGCACAGGACATCATGCTGGCTCCAGCCATGTAGGAACCAGCAGAACTCTGGGAATGACTGTAGAAAGGGCAGTTCTAGCTAAGAATCCTATTTTTGAACAGAGTTATTTTGGGAGCCCTGCTGTCCCTCCAGAGCCTATGGATTTTCCATGAAGCAATGGCCTGGCCCTCCCACCCCGAGTGCTCCCTGCTGATGGCCATTGCACTGGTGGAATAAGGCCCTCATTCACTGTCTCTGGAGATTCAGTGTACTAATTGTGTGCACAAGTTTATCTGACTGGGGCAGGGAAGGGAGGGCAAAGAACCCGGCTGCCTGGAAGGCCTTACAATAGTGTTTCTGAGCATGAGAGGAAAGGGGCAGAACAATGGGCTCTCTGTGCACTCTGTGCAGCCAAGACCCTTGGGGAGGAGCAGGAATAGGGACCCTATCAGAGACCAGGGATCTCCTTGCTGTGGCAGGCAAGAAAGTGGAGCCCAGGGACCCCTAGAGCCTGAAGAATCAGGACAAGGGGTCAGAGCATCTAGATTCCGCATTGTTTCTCATAAGACAAGAAATGATAAAGACATCACCCCATAAGGCCCTGGCATCTGCAGGAGGGGTATGGGTGCAGAGGGCTGGGAGACCCCGCTCCAGGCATGGCGCAGCATGAGCTTGGTTGCAGTCCACCACTGTTCTGGGTGGGGTGCTGGAGGAAAAGCAAGTGATGGGCCCATGAGCCCGCATTTACTTGAGCTCCTGGGCAATAGCTGCAATCTGCTCCACGCGGTCCTGATGTGCAGCCAGGTCGCTCTCGAAGGCCTCGTGCTTGCGGATGAGGGCTTTGATGTCTGACAGGGTGGCCGTCTCATAGTCCCGGTGCTTCAGCATGGCTTCCTTCCCTGGGTGGGGCAGAAGGCAGGAGGCACTTAGACAACAATGCACCAAGAGTTCACCAGAGGCCTGTGCAACCAGGGGCAAGGAAATGAGGCAGACCAACATCCTATCTAGCGGGGAATGGTACCATGAAGAATAGAAACTTCCAGAACCTTTTTCCTTGACCTTTTCAGGGATCTCTAAGCCCAAATAAATCCTGCATGGACTGGGAGACACTGTGGTGGTGTGGGCCTAAGCCAGATATCCCAATTCAACATATGTGTTCTAAACTTGTTGGTGGGAGACTGGAAACCTGGACTGCTATACCATCTATAGAGGGCTGTGATCTAGAGAAAAGGCTGGGGTGCAGCCCATGCCTCAGCTGGGTAGAGGAAGGGGAAGTGTTCCAGTTAGGGTTCTTTTGGAGACCACCCCTCTGCCTGCTCCCTGGCACTTGGGGGCTGGCTCCCCTGGGGGGGTGTCTTATCACATACCTATGGGCCCCATACTGTCTTAAAAAAACTTTGCACGTGCAGTGAGGCAGGGCCTGTCATTAGGCCTTTGAAGGAAGGAACACTGTTATTAGATCTGGAGCCTGGCTAATTATATGCCCCAGGACAGAAGCTCGAGTGGCCCTGGAAGCACAGTAAGGTACTGCAGAACTGGTGGAAAAGGTTAGCCTGGGAGGGAGCACTGCTTCCCGTAAGCCACTCTGGGTTACCCCTAGAGTGGCAGCTCAGAGACCCCCTTCTCAATCCGGCCCCAGCGCGTCTGACCAGCAGCTGCCCTCCAGATGCAGAGACTCAGAGCTGTGGGAAGAAGGCAGGCAGTTTCTCCCAGCTATTCCCTCATCTCTGGAATGGAGCCAACGCCGGCGCCTGAAGCCTCAGTGAGGTGCTGTTCGAGAAGGGCAGGCACAGAGCCAGGACCACTGTAACCTCAGCCACCCCGAGGACAGGGCCTGGCATTGGCAGACAGGAGGCACAGCCTGGGAGACTGACTCCACTGGCCCTGCCGCCCCAGCCCTGGGGTAGAACACGTAACCACAAAGGCAAGCTTACAATTCCCTTCCCGAAATTGCTTTCTCCCAAGGGTGGGAACCAAAATAGTAGGTTAGCACTTCTCTGCCTCAGCAGGGTTTCAGCTCAGGCTGGCAAGGGGTGCGCTGGACGACTAGGCCACAGCCATGGCCACCTTGTATGCAGGCTGAGGGGCAGCCACGAAAGGGAATTGGGCTCATTTTTGTTTCTTTCCCCAGAAAACCCAAGACCTGAGGAGCAATCACACCCCTATAGGCTGTGAGGGATGTTGAGAGCAGTCAGGAAGCTGGTCTGTCCCATTTTGCATATGTTGGCGATGATACAGAGGCTTTGGGCAGCAGGTGTTGAGAATGAGAGTGGGCAGCCTGCCTGGGGGCTCAGGCTGACTCATGACACAGGCCAGGTGTCAAAGTGCCTGTGTACCTGCCTGTGGGAGGTAGGGGAGGGGTTAGGGCATGTGGAGGCCACTGAGCCAGTCAGTCCACTCTGGCACAAGATCAGGCCAACTTCCCCTGAATGCCTTCACATGAAAGCCAGCTCCTGCATCACTCCCAGGGGAGGAATAATGGTAGGCCATCAGACCCACACCCCTGGGCATTAGGAGACCATCTTCCCAGGGTTTCCTGGAGCCCAGGAAAGAGACTATAGAGCTGATAACACGGGCCAAGCGGCCCTAGAAGGTATATACAGAAGGATGATGCCCTGAACCTGTTGAATGACATGCAAAATTGTGGATAATGAGGGAAATAGCTCAGTCCACATGTGGGATGCGGGTGCTGTAAAATCCACTATGTTCACAAGGCCCTCTGTTATGAAAAATGCCAACACCTGCTAGCCTCAGAGTTTCCCAGGCAGGGCCCTCACCTACCTGGGAACTAATGAACACAGGGAAGAGGCTCAGAGGTATTTGTGGAATGAATGAACGAATGAAGTAAATGCCAACATCCCCTCCTCCAGGGCTGGGAGTAGAGCCATGGTGCCATTTCTTCAAAGCATGAGGGAGGTGCCTATACGCCTGGCCCAGGTCTTGCTTGACCCACCTTCTAGCATCTCCCTCTGCATTCTTTCCCTGGAGGAGGAGGTTAGGGCATTGCTCTGATCTGGCAGCTGCAGCTGGAGAATAACCCAGGACTGCAGATCATACAGAGTTCCCATGTGTTGGAGTGGGGCCTCTGGGTAGGTCTTAGCTTCTAGCCAGTGCTAGGGCTGCCTGACAAACAGCTGGGAGGGGGACTAGAAGAGCTCCCCTGAGATTCAATGAAGATCTATCTCATGGTTAACTGTGGGTCTGGGAGGGATGAAAATCACCACGAGCAATGCAAAAAAATGTAAAATCAGCTGGGCAGAGTGGTGGCAGTGGGTGAACCCCTGAGTTTGGTAATAGCAGGAAGGCAGAGACACTTGGGAAGGAAGGAGGGTGGGAGTCCTATGGATGGTTCTCAGCTTTTCTAGGCACTGGCTGCTACCTGAAGGCTTTTAGGCCCCTGGTATCTGGAATCCCAACCATAGTGTGAGTCCTGACTGAGGGCCAGAGGCATGACAGAATTCCACATCCTGATCCAAGGGAACAGGCAGCTGCAGAGCTGCTGAGAAACAGGAGGCCTGCCCTCACCGAGACCATCCTGCCCTTGGAGGGCTTGAAAGCTGCCCTTTTGGAAGAAGCCATCCTGCAGAGGCCCAGGCCCCTTGGAAGGAGGCTCTGCGGGGCTGCAGTCAGTGAGAAGCTTTGTGGCCCAGGGGGCGGCTCCAGGCCTTTGCCTGTAAGGACCCTCCTGGGGAACAGACCCGTACAGCGTGAGGTCCTCGGTCACAAAGGGTGTGGAGGGCAGAGGCAGGCTGTCTGCGCACAGGATGCCAGGGATGGAAAAACCTGTCCCCCACCCCTACAGAGTGGACAGGAACAGGGTCATTTCCCTATCAACGTGGCTTGGCTGCATTGCTGGATGACTGGCCTCCGATGGCCCAGGAAGGGGCCCACCTATGATTAATGTTTGAGACCAGAGCAGAAGGGCAATGCATCAGGAAAAGGACAGGTGTGTGTGTGTGTGTCTGAGAAACAAGAGAGCTGGGAGGACCATACCATCAGTCCAGGCCTCGTGGATGGAGGCTTTCTGCCGGAACTTCTCTGCGAGATGGTCAAGCCGTTCCAGCCTGCGAATCTCATTCAGCAGCCACTCTTCGTAGCCCTTCTCGGCCTGTTCCAGGTGCTGCCAACAGTTGTTGATATCCTGGAGGGCAGCAGAGGGCAGGGCTATCACAGGAGCTAGGTCATCCGGGACGGCGATGCCTCACTGAGGGAGGCTGCAATGGGCTTGACCATGTCTACCTCCTGCTGTTCTGTGTACCCAGACAGAACCCAACACATAGCAGGTGCAACCAGTTCTTCTGGGTTACATGCATAAATGCAAATGAATAAATGCCATGGATGGGGCTATGAACCTCAGGGAATACTGTCCCTCCCTGAGAAGGGGTCTCAAGCACTTGGTGGTTGTCCTAAATTGTTTGAATTTGAACTGGGGTTCCAAATTCAAACAATTCCACACAAACTGGTGTGGTTTGAGGATGGGTATAAAAACCTGGAGAGCGATGAGGGGGTGTGTGATAGTGGTGGTGGTAAAGTGTCAATGCAGTCCCACCACCTCTGCACCAGAAAGGCTGTGCATTCTAGTTAAGAAAGACTTTACTGGCCAAACAATTAAGACTGGGGGTTGTCTGGTGAATCTGCACTCCTGGGTCCTGGCTCCCTCTGCCCCCAACCCCGCCCTCACCGAGACCATCCTGCCCTCGGAAGGCATGAAGGCAGGCCGGTTGCTGAGACGCAGCTTGGTCTGCAGAGTGTTGAAGTTGATCTCCAGCTGGCACTTCTCTTGCACTTTGGGTGGCTTGTGGACTCGCCGGTAGTCTCGGAAGTCCTCCAGCTTCTGCTGCATCTCTTGGATGGTCTTTTGAGGCACGCGGTCCTCCAGCCAGGGGATGGTGCGCCGGATCCACTCCAAAAGCTGTGGGCCCACAAGAAGCCATGTGGTGGGACCACCCCTGGCTCACAGGCACCTGGCATCCAGATCTTGGAGGGTTCTGTCTTGGGGAATCACCCCTGCTCTCCAGCCTCCCGTTGGGATCCCAGGGCAGAGAATTCTGGGAATGGGTGCCCCCTCGGAACCACTGTGCTGTTCACTGGTTACTTCCTGTTTGTGCCTCTCCTTGGTGGTCTCCCTCATTCAGAGATCTCACTGGTTCCCTGTTCATGGACTGTCAGTGCCTCAAGGGCTGGACCTGTAGCATGCCTGGCTCTCTCAGGGGCAGCCAACGCGATGCACAGGCCTGGGGCATAAAAAATTAGAATGTAAAATTGAAAAAGGTGATATGTATTTTTATGAGCTACTGTCTTTGATGGAGGACGGCCATAAAGAAGCAAACAAACTGTACATTTTAGAACAATCCCAGGAGAGTAAATCAGTTATTATGCAGCGTGGATATGCTCAGAAGTGATTCCCAATGACAACTTCTGACAAAATGAGAAAAGCTAGGATAAAGATATCCTTATATTCACGTCTTGATGCATGATGCCAAACACCTTTTCTTGGGAAGGGCTGGGATCCCAAAATATATAACCTTTAACCTTTTCTTGGTGTTAGAAATAATGTAATAACAGATGGTAGCCTTTTCTTTTTAAAATATCCCCTTAACTTGGCAAGATAAAAAGTCAACCCCCATAGGTTGGTTGTCAAAATTTTTTCCCAATTTTCCTGTTTATGAAATCTCAATGTCTGGGAATCACTCACTGGTATAAAAGAGTAGTCAAATTACTGCTCTTGAAAAGCTTACCTGTTTTAAGTTTTTTTCTATGGAAATTTTTCAAAGTAAAGGTCAGAATCCAGAAGAGATTTTCTGAACACCTACCATCCCAACCGATGCTCCAGGTCAGGCTCTGGAGCAGAGCTACCTGTGTTTGAACCCCGGCTGTCTCTCCTACCAGCCATGTGACAGTGGACATGTGCCTGGGCCTCAGTCTCCTCACTTGGGAAAGGGAGTGACAAGAATGGCAGATCCTAAGCCTGCAGTGCTGTTGCCCGGGACCTGCCATGACAACCGTACTCCTGGCCAGCACCGCATCAGCTCTTGGTCTCTCTATCCTACTGAGTCCGTCTCTCCATGGGGAAGGTGTGGGAATGTTGATTCTTAAAACACTCTCCAGATGATTCTAAAGCCATGCCGTGTTCAGACAACTCTATCTTTGAGTATTTGTGTTGGAACCCAGATAGAAAGCTCTAGATCCCAGGAGCCAGCTAGCATGCTGACATATCAGTTTGATGCTTAACCATGTGAAACCGACCTGAAAGGCCACATCCCGTACTGGCTTAGGCAAACTCTACAGCCTGTAATCTTATCACCGTTTCTAAAAAGTCTCACTGTAACACCTACTGTTCACTCTGCAAGTGTCACATGACCTTTGGTCAAGGGTAACAAAGGTGACCCAATCTTTCAGCTCTGGTGGTATCACTGGGGGTAGGGTAAGTGGCACTTACATCGCTGGCCAGCCTCTCGTAATCTTCCATCAGGTGTTCATTTTCCTGATTGACAGCCAGCACTTTGCAGATCCGGTTGGCGGCTGTCTCAGCCTGGGATGAGGGAAGTACATACAGTCAGGGTTGCCTGGGGGCTAGTGACCCTCCCCCTGACAGGCAAGTCCCTAGAAAGCTGGCTCATCCATGGCCCACACAGAACTTCCCAAGGAGGAAAGAAGTACAGCTTCAGCAAGATGGCACCCCGAGTGCCTGTTTCCTCACAGCCCTTGCTGGCGTCTGCACAGCTTACTGCTCAGGCCCCTACCCAGATAATCAGGCCCCTCAGTTTTGTTGGCCTGGACCCTGGGGATGCTGAGAAGGGTTGGGAAGCCTCCACAGTGGAGGAAATGGATTAACACACGCCCTAGTAGCCCACAAAGAGAAGGGTTGGGTCAAGCTGGGTGGGGTCCTCCACTAGGCCAAACCTTGGATGAAGTCTCCCCTTGGGTGGGAAGGTAGACTGCAGCGAGGCTGAGTGCTAGAGAGCTGTAGGGCAAATGGCAGGGATGCTGGTGCCCTCCCCCACTCCAGAAAAGCCTGGTGGTCAGTGCACAGGCGGAACACACTAAGCCCCTTCCTAATCCTCCCCTTGATAGCTCATTGGGCCAAAGTCACCATCCACAGAGCAAGGGATTCACAGAGCAGGGAGTGGTGGAGACAGTGACTACTTTTTGCCCAGAACTACAGGACTCTGTCCTGTGTTGGCTTGCTGAGGGAGGGTGCAAGGAGTGGAGGAGGGAGAGGGGTTCCACACAAGAGAGGAGAGACCAGGTACCTTTCAGGAAGCACAGAAAGGATCCAAGAGGAAGAGTTGAAACGGCAACAGAACAGGAACAGAAATAGTGAGGAGGGTCTACAGAGTGGTGGGGAAGGAAAACAGAGAGGCTTGGGGATGGCTCCAGACCGGGCTAACTACAGGCACTGATGCCCAGCCTCTCCCTCCACACACTGCTTCTGGGACAAGCAGACAGGTGAGTGGTGGACCAGCCAAGGTTGGTGTGCAAACACGCGCGCGCACACACACACACACACACACACTCTGCATCATGCTGCAGGATACTTGCCAATGGCTCCAGGCAGTGCTCCTCAGAGATGAGGTTCACAAGGGTTTGGCCAGTGAATACTGGCCCGAAGTGCAAGCAGAGCAAAGGTTGCAGCTTTCAGGGCAGCCACAGAGATTAGTCCCTGACCGCTCATTGGAAGACAATGGTACCCCACGCTGAACCCACTCTCCTGCACAGGCCCACAAAGGTGGGGGCTGCTGGTCAGTTTCACTGTCCAATTCCTGGCATCCAGCTCAGAGTTCAGTGTTCTAGGTAGTCAAGTTGATGAATGAATGAGTGAACAAGGAGTAAATGCTTTAGCCTGGGGATCAGCTTCAATTTATAAACAAAAAGAACCCTAGAGAGCACTCTTTTAAGAGATGAGATTGGTGAATACACAATATAATATACAGATGATATATTAGAGAATTGTACAACTGAAGCCTATATAATTTTATTAAACAATGTCACTCCAATAAATTCAATAAAAAGAGAGATGTGCTTAAGTCTTCAGGGAAAAGACAGCAGCAATAATAAAAAGTATCCCATGGCTGGCCTGAGAAGCAGACACAGGCTGGGGGGAGCCCAAACTTGGGCTAGAGAAGCCTGGATCCTGCAATGCCTTAGTGAACAGCAGCTCCAAGGGCCAGGCCTTTATTTCTTCCCTTATAAGAGCAGTTTGGCTGCCTCAAAATGGCCAAGTCCTGGGTCTTCCTGCCAGTGTCCACTCCCAAAAACCCTTCCAGGCGTCCATTTCCCTACTACATGAAGTTCAGCTCTAAGCACAGGAGGGTAGCCAGGGCAGAAGAGAAAGCACTCTTGCATGGGCAATGTGGTGGGCAGGGAGGCTGGCGTGGGGCCAGTAGGAGGGAGTCCAATGGCTTACGTGCTATTAGTTGGGGTTTGTAGCAATGAATCTTCACTGCTATCCACCCCTGCCCCACCCTGCCTTCCCACTAAGGTGGGGGTCCCTTCCACTCTCCTGCCTATGCCTCCCACAGAACACTCTAAACACAAGCTCCCACCTCATGCAGGTAAGTGGCAGAAGGCTATAAAAATGGCTCTCTGGCACTGGGCTGGGAAGAACCACAGCGGGCAGGGACAAGGCTACTCGACTAGCTGAGCATGTGCCAGGAACAGTCATTTCATCCTCAGAACAACCCTGTGAAGCAGGTACTAGTACAATCCCATTTTATAGATGGGAGAACTGAGTGAGGTGAAATGACCTATCTCATACTGCTAAGAGATTGCAGAGCCTGGGCAGAGCAAACTAGCACAGGGAGCACCTGCTTGACCTGGGCTCTGAAGAAGGTAATTCACGGCAGGCAGCAGACAGTCCATGTCCTATGATGCCCTACCCACTTAAATGTCCTCCTCTTTTAATTGAGGATAATAGCACCCCCTGCTACAAAAGGGGTGTGTAGGTATTAAGAGTCTGTGTCTAGCATCTAGTAAGTGCTCATAAAAAAAAACTAGTTTCTTTTTCTCCTCCCTGCCCACTTGCCAATTGGTGACACTAACTCAGGTCTCTGGGAATAGCTGTCCACAACCAGAGACCTGGAGGCAAGCAAAGGGGACAGAGGTGCGCAGGCCTCCATGTGGGAGTCTCTCCTCAGGGGCAGCATGAGATCAGCCATGCTCAGGGAGAACTGCCACTGGGAACACACTTGTGACTGCTCTGCCTGTGTCAGCACAGCTGCTTGAGATGGGCCCAGAGAGCTGGGTCAACAAGAGGAGGCTTAGAGAACAGCCTAACCTGCTCAGGCTGAGCCTTTCCTGGGCCCTTTGGGAGGGGAAGGGGCCACAGAGAGGGGCAGAGAAGCCAGTTCTCTCCAGCCAAAGGGCACAGCCAGGGCACCAGGCAGGTGGCCTAGTATGGATCATGAACAGAGAGGAGCAAGGGCAACCGAGTGGTCAGGAGCACGGGTCCCAATTGCAGCTCTGCTAAATTTAATGTGATGCAGGGACGCAACTGCCCTTTCTGAGAAACTGGGACGCTACCACCAATCTCTCAGGGCAGGCTGTATTCATAAGAGAGATCTGTGTCGTGTTAGCGCCAGCTAAGTGATGACACTGAAGCCCATGGTCACAATAAACCTGCTTGAGCGGGTCAGTCCTCAGCCTGGCCAATCAAAGATGGATGATGATGACAGGAGGCCGGCAAGGGCAAGCCTCTTAGACACAGCAGCCAGGTGTGCTCCCACCCCAGCTCACCTTTTGAGCCCCCGAGAAAGCGTGGTAGAAGCAGGACACGTAAGTCATGATGGCTTTCTCATCTGGCCTCAGAGTGCCTACAATATCTGCGCAGAGAAAGAAAGAGAAAGAGAAGCAAGAGAGAGTGAAAGATGCAGGGAGGGCAGCTGGGACTGGGCCCTAGGCTCATGCGGGAGGAATAGCGCTTGCTCTAGACTGGAAGCCAAACCCTGGATCTGGCTATGCGGGCCATTTTGCTAGGTTTTGGTAAGGGAAGAGGGTGGATTCCTCTTCGAACCAGGCCTGCATTTATGACACTAGCCATTGGGGCTGGAGGGGTTAGACCCTAACTGACCTTTCTGAAAATGTAAGATCATTTCTGCCACCTCAGCATAAACCACTTAATAGTTTTCTGGGGCCCTAGAATAAAACTTAAATTATTATTATTTTTTAAATGTATTTTATTGATTTTCCACAGAGAGGAAGGGAGAGGGATAGAGAGCTAGAAACGTCGATGAGAGAGAAACATCGACCAGCTGCATCCTGCACACCCCCTACCAGGGATGTGCCTACAACCAATGTACATGCCTTTGACCGGAATTGAACCTGGGACCTTTCAGTCCGCAGACTGACGCTCTATCCACCAAGACAAACCGGTTTCAGCCTAAATTATTATTTTTTAATAATGATTTTATTTTTAAAATATGTTTCTATTGATTTCAGAGAAGGAAGGAGATAGAAACATCAATGATTAGAATCATTGATCAGCTACCTCCTTGTACGTCCTCTACTGGGGAATGAGTCTGCAACCAAGGCATGTGCCCTTGGCCAGAATCGAACCTGGGACCCTTCAGCAGTCTGCAGGCCAATGCTCTATCCACTGAGCCAAACTGACTAGGACTAAAACCTAAGTTCATGATCTCAGACTACAATAGTCTTACACAGCCTGGCTCTGCACCTTCACCTCGCTTACTCTTCTCCTGCCATTCCTTCAATAAGCCACGCTTATTTCTGCCTCACAGCCTTTGCACTTGCTCTACACTCTGCCTGGAATGCTTTTCCTACAGATCTTCACATGACAGCTCCTCATCATCACTCCAAGTGCTGTTCATGTCACCTCCTGGAGGCTTCCCATGATAGCCCCAGCTAAAGCAGCCCTCGGGCTTCTCTGTCCCCCCGTCCTGTCCCATGTTCTCTACTGTGCTTATCACATGAAATTACTTGATCTGTGAATATGCCTGTTGTCTGCCCCAGCCACCAGAATGGAAGTTCCATGAAAGCAGAGACCCTGCTTGACTGTCACCACTGTATTCTCAGTGCCTATTATAGAGCCTGGCACAAATTGGGCACTCAATAGACTGTGAGCAAAGGGTGGCAGCAATGCCAAGGAGCTGGGGTATGGCTTCCAGTCGGAGAGGCCACTGCCGTCTGCAAGAGAAATGAGGTGAGCATGGGAGGCGAGAGGCAGCAGTGGCATTGGGCAGTGGCAGCGAGGTGGGCCTGCCTGGCCCTGCCCGGTACCTTCTGCGCTCCCGAAAAGGCATGGTAGAAGCTGGACACATAGGTCATTATGGCCTTCTCGTCGGGCCGAGCCGTGTTCACGATGTCTGCAAGTGAATGACAAGGGTTAAACTGCCCAAGTATCAGAGTGGGGGAGGGGTGTTCACTCACCAGGATCCAAAGGCTCCCAAGACCACAGACATCCCAGAAGAAGGTCCCTTAGAACTGACTCAGTGACCCCTGGTGACTCTGATAGGCTCAGCTTCACCCTGAGTCCCTCCATCCCCATGGGCTCTAGAAAGGCCACAGCTGTGGGAACTGGATTAAAATGAGGCCACTTCCTCTCTCTGAGAATAGTCTCAAGGGGCTTCTGGACAGTCAACCCCAAGGGCCACCAGAGGCCAGAGGTATGGATCCTGGCTGGGTGGTGCATGGATGGGAAATGGAGAAAAGCCAGAAAAGGAAAACACAAAAGACTCCAAATGGGTGGGCTCTGGACTCCGAATCCACAGCAGGCGGGGTAAATAGAAGCCTTGCTTTTTCAGAGGACGAGCCCTCCCTGGTCACTTTGCTCCTTGCCTCCCCCCAGGTATGGGACTGGGTCAGGCAGGGCTATGGTAGCCTCCAGAGTCAATCCTCCTCAAGCTCCCTCTTCCCCACTCCTCACCCTGCTCTATCCCTGAGCAAGTCTGGCCTGCAAAGGCTGCTCCTGCTCTGGTTCCCCTGGAGACACAATGTCCCAGGTTCACCCAGATTCTCTGCCATTCTCACTGGCTCTGCCACTGTCTGAAGTTACCATAAGATACACAAGAAACAATGTGCTGACTGAACAAAAGGGATGTACGTACCCTCTGCATCCAACATTTTGGGGATGTCTAGGTATTTCTCTGCCACTTCAAAGGCATTGTTCAGGTTGGTGACTGGGTCGTCCTGAGGAGAGGGAAATGAGGAAAGAAGGAAGAACTCAGTCAGGGGCAGGATCCAGAAACAAAAGGGACCCAGGGCTGGCCTAAAAGGAAGAGATCTGGGTAGGGGTTAGGACTGGAAAAAGTACTTTTTTAGGCAGTTCTTAGCCACATGTGCTACTGGCAGGGAGAGGAGGCTACCTGAATAGTCAATTCCGACCCAAAGGGACGCCTCTGAAAATCCTGCTGGACAAAGGGGATCTTTCCTCTGGAAAAAAAAAAAAGTGCTCTTTTCTTACAGTTTTCAACTATCCAGACCGCAGATTAAGCTCCCTGTCCTGAACCTGACAGTTGGACAGACTTGAAACATCTCTGGGTTGGAGTCTGGGGGAAGCAAATTGAGTGTCTCCACGTTCCAACCTCTCTGAACCATCCATCCCTTCATGCCATCTCCAACTGCTAGGGGATTAAAGCGTACTTAATTCGGACCCTTCTTCACGTGTCCTTACTGCTTTCCAGCTAGAGTCCAATTGTATTACTTCCTGTGGCTTGAACAGGCTCAATGAGGCCCATGCCTCCTCCATCTGGAATGCCTGCTCTCTGGCTCTAAGTTGGCCCCTCCTCCACAGGTCCCTCCTGATCATGACAGCCCAAGTGTGCCATCCTTCCCCTGCAGTATTGTCAGGCCCTATCTCCTCCCCACCCCATTCAGCCTGAGCACCTGTGCATGGCTTCATGTGGCTGGCTTGCTCTGGATACATTGTCCTGCCTTCCCCACAAGGTTGGGTCACAAGCTTTGTATAAACAAATTAGAACAGGACCCTGCCAGGAAATGTCTGCCGGCAGTGTGGTTTGGAATTCCTTACCCCTTATCCCCATGGACAGAGAGGGAATGCTTCCAGAACCCAGAAGTTAAGGAAGGGGAGCTACAAGAAATGGTTGGCCAGGCCTTAAAATAACTCTGGCGGTTACAATGCCATGGAAGGAGAAAGGGACAGTCTCTGAGGGGAGCAAGGGAGGTGAGAACTGAGCCAGGGGATGTGGTGACAGTTGGCACAAGGCTCTCCAGCCTGCCCGTCTGATCTCAGAATCCAGCTTTGAATAGCAGTGATAGATGGACTTGGGGGACGTGATCAGAGTTAGGGTCAGACACAGGGTATTTGTGGACTGTTGAGGGGAACACAAGATGCATACCTTTCTCAGCTTGTCATACTCGATGAGCTCAGGCCTGTGCCGGTGGATCAGGGCATTAAAGGCAAGACCGTCCTTCCAGCTGGGGATGGAAAGGCCAAGGTTATGAGGATGCCCGCGCACTGTAATGGGAGTGCGTGGCCGCAGGAACCCACAGCAACAATCAGTTCCCATTTACTGAGGCGGTTCAGTGTGTGTGCCAGGCATTGCCGGGAGATGGATGGCAGGGTGGCTGTGACCTTGACTGCTGGAGCTGAGAGTTACGGGGTCAAATCCTAGCGCCTCTACTTACTATTAGTGTGACTATGGGCAAGTCCTACAATTATTACCTGTTTCCATGTCTGTAAAATGGGGATAATAACAGTGCCTACTTCATGAGCGTTGTCATAGGATTAAATAAGTAAATATGGTAACACTCAGACCAGGGCCTGACATGTGTACATGTACGGCTCCAATGAACTGCACAGGCCCACTGAGGGGAGATGGCCTACTGCAGAAGGTCAGTGCCTGTGTTGTGTGACCTCCGCACCTTGGCTGACATGACCCACAGGCTGGCTAAATGCCAGGATGTGGTTGGCATGAGGGTCTCTGCGAGGCAAAATGACAACTGGTCACATTTTTCTTCCTGGGATCCTCTAAGACAATGGTTCTCAACCTTCCTAATACTACGACCCTTTAATACAGTTTATGTTACGGTGACCCCCAACCATAAAATTATTTTCGTCGCTACTTCATAACTGTAACTTTGCTTTTGTTAATGAGTCGTAATGTAAATATCTGTGTTTTCAGATGGTCTTAGGCTCTACAGCAGTGGCTCTCAACCTGTGGGTCACGACAAGGAATGATTGGCCAGGCACTAAAATAACTGCTAGCAGGGTTGCCTAAGACCATCGAAAAACACAGATATTTACATTAACAGTAGCAAAGTTATAGTTATGAAGTAGCGATGAAAATAATTTTATGGTAGGGGTCACCACAGCATGAGGAACTGTATTAAAGGGTCACAGCATTAGAAAGGTTAAGAACCGCCGAAGCTGGTTTGGCTCAGTGGATAGAGTGTCGGTCTGCGGACTGAAAGGTCCCAGGTTCGATTCCAGACAAGGGCGTGTACATTGGTTGCGGGCATATCCCCAGTAGGGGTGTGCAAGAGGCAGCTGGTCGATGTTTCTCTCTCATCGACGTTTCTAACTCTCTATCTCTCTCCCTTCCTCTCCTCTCTGTAATAAATCAATAAAATATATTAAAAAAAAAAAAAAAAAAAGGTTAAGAACCACTGCTCTGAGGGCTGGTTCCTTCTGGGGTCAAGCTTAATGACACTTCTTCAGGAAGGCCACTCCTGACCAAGGTACTCTCCCAATTACTTTCTATCACCTCACTCTATTTTGTGGTCCTAGTTTATATAGCACTTCTCACTACCTGAAATCGTGTTGGTTTATTTGCACCTTTGTCAACTAGTGGTCCTTTCTGCTGCAATATAACTTTCCAAGGTGGAGATTCATTTTGGTCCTGCTGTATCCCCACTATTGGCATGTACTAGGCACAGATATTTACCAATCCTATATAATAAAAGCCTCATATGCTAAGTGTCCAGTCATCTGGTCATTCATTCAATCAATTACAGAACAATATGCTAATGATATGCTAAGGCCTCTCAACCGCTCACTATGATGTGCACTGACCACCAGGGGGCAGACGCTCCAACTGGTAGGTTAGCCTGCAACTGGGGTCAAACTGGGTGAGATGGGCTGGACATGCCCTGGAGCCCTCCTGTGGTCCCTCTCCAGCTGGCCAATTTCCCGTGTCCCTCCCCAGCTCTGATCATGCACTCGTGGAGTCCCTCAGCCTTGCCTGCGCCCTCTTGCATCCTGGGACCCCTTGGGGGATGTCGGAGAGCTGGTTTCAGCCTGATCCCACTGGCCAGACTGAGGGACCCCACTGGTGCATGAATTCGTGTGCCAGGTCTCTAGTTGAATAAATAAATGAACAAGAAGTACAGAGAGGACCAGTGAGTTGGTAGCAGGAAAAGGGAGACACAAAGAGGTTCTTGAGGGTGGGACTGTGTGCTATTAGTAGTTGAGTACAATGGAAAGGTACCCAACCTCTAAGTGCTGGGGCCCTGGAAAGCCTGGGGGCACAGAAGAACCTCTGTGGATCCTGTGAGGCCCCATTCTTCATTCCTATGTGTGCTCCCTCCTTCGTCCATCCACCCTGGAAGGACATCAGAGGCTCAGAGGGTGAAATCACAGGGCAAAACTGGACCTGACCTCAGGACCACCCGCCTCTGGTCACACTGGATCTTGAGTGGCGCTGATCATGCTTGCCTGTGTTCTGGCAACAGTGGACATGTCTCCTTTTTTTTCTCACCCAAGGGAGAGCAGGTTAATCACAGGGCTGACTGGGTTTTGTTCACTAGAGTGGACAAAGTATGTTTTCCTCAACACTCAATTCACAAGCATCTCTAGGGATGGGTTCCCCTTGAGAGGTCAAAACCAAAAAAGAGCTTTGTTGTTACTTCAGAGAATCACTTTGCTTGGGGAGGACGAAGAGTCATAGGCTGGCCATAGCACTGGCCTTTAAAGCCTTCAGCCCAGGACAGTGAGGCAACTGCCACTGCCATCATCGTCATCACCACCACCACCACCACTCCTTCTCCTCTTCCTCCTCGGAGAGGACACAGGAACCTTATAAGGAGCTCACAGGAGTCAATGTCAGGAGGAGGAACTCCTGGAGGGCTGGCAACTGATAGATCATGAGAAAAGCACAGGAAAGGAAGGCAGGTGGGAAGACAGTGCCTCATGTCCCAGGAAGAAGCAAGACAATGAGTTGAGCTTCGGGGCTGCCGGCACTCACCTGATGTGGAAGTTCTGCACATTGACGTTCTTGTATGGAGCTGTCTTTCTCTGGCACCAGAGAAGGAGCCCTTCCTTGGCAGAGGTCTCTGCAAAACACACAGAGTCACTGAGCATCGGCTCAGACAAAAACAATTCTTCTTGTTCAAGCATAACCCAGGGGACAGGCCACTAGACAGAGCAGCAGCAGCAGCAGCAGCAGCAGCGATGGTAGCAACAGCCCTTCCCATTCCAGACATGGGCAGGCCTCTGCTAATCCTAACTGCTAACCAGCACATATGGCCCCAAGAAGAAGTAACTCACCCAGAATCACCCCAGGAAATGGCAGTGACAGAATAATGTCAAGGTCTGAACCTGTGCCATATTTCAGACCACAAGGCCTATGCCTTTTACTGTCAGGACACACCATCAAAGAAGGCTTTGATACTGGCTTTGGCCACTCCTTGAACAAAGTGAAGAATCGGTGGTGGCTTAGATTGATTCCAGATCCACAGAGGCAAAGGTTGGAGAATGGAAACAGGTAGGCACTGACACTCAGGGGAACCAGGCCAGGTCTGATTCCCATTAATGTCTATATGACTTCAATTCCTCAGCTGTAAAATGGAGCTGATCATGCCATCTTCATGAGGGTGATGTGAGGGTCCGCGGAGACAGAGGCTGTGAAAGCAAAGTACTCTGGATACCAGAGTTGGGTGGCTTCAAGAGTGATTCCTTCACCTACTGCCTGGGCCAGAATCTCCACTAAACACTCCTACACATGGCCGGGCCCTGTAAGTGACCCTGGGAAACAGGAATGAGCCTTGAAGCATGAAGACAAAATGTTCAAAATCCTAATCTAACTCTCCCCAACTCGGGTAGAACCTGAATGGGGAGAAAGTGGTTCTTGGCTGTCAGTAGAACTCTTGGCTCTTACCTTCCACCGAGATGTCCTGGATGGCGAACCTGAGGATGATGGTCCAAATCATCCCCAGCGTCATCTTTGCGTTGCCATCTACAATCTCTGTGTACAGGGAGTGGGCAAAGGGCGAGAAGATTGTTAAACCAGACTGAGAGCCCCTCATCCCTAGGGCAGCCTTCCCAACCCATTTAAAATTAGCTGCCCAGGCCTACCCTCCACCACCCTCACTGGAGATATGCCCTGAACACTCTGGGAAGCACAGTCCAAAAGCCTCTAAACATATGTGTCCTTGGCTTTCCATCACGCCAGCTTATTCTCTCTCTCTTTTTTCTTTTTAATATATTTTTATTGATTTCAGAGAGGAAGGAAGAGGGAGATAGAAACATTAATGATGAGAGAGAATCACTGATTGACTGCCTCCTGCACACTCCCCCACTGGGGATCATGTGCCCTTGACTGGAATCGAACCCAATATCCTTTAGTCCACAGGCTGACGCTCTATCTACTAAGCAAAACCAGCTAGGGCTCTCTTGACCTAACTTAAAAGACTGCTCCTCCCCAAAGCTTGCTCCCAGCCCTCTGCTGATACCTCCATCAAGGCTTATGGGCACGTCTCTCCACTAGTGGGTGCATGTTGCACTACTCTTTGTTGAGAAACTGTCCACTTCCTTCCAAGCCCAATGCTGCCACTTTTGTCCAAGCCACTGTTGCCTCCTCCAGAGCTCAATACACTGCAACCTACACCAGCCCCTGCAATCCACCTCCACACAGTGGCTACGGTGGTCCCTTTAAAAATTGCATCATAGACCTAACCAGTTTGGCTCGGTGGATAGAGCATCGGCCTGCGGATTGAAGGGTCCCAGGTTTGATTCCTGTCAAGGGTATGTACCTTGGTTGCGGGTACATCCCCAGTAAGGGGTGTGCAGGAGGCAGCTGATCAATGTTTCTCTCTCATTGATGTTTCTCTCTATCCCTCTCCCCTTTCTCTCTGTAAAAATTCAATAATTTTTTTTTTAAACTGCATCAGATTTGTGTCACTCACCTAATTAAAGCTCCACTACACCTCAAACGAAGCCCATGTTCTGGGGCCCAGGTTACAAAGCCTGCCCTGGGTTACCTTGCCCTTCCCTCTCCCCAGCACTCTTTAGCTGTATCCTTTTGCAAGCCAGGCTCTTTTTTGCTTTAAGGACCTCATACCTTCTGTCCACTAACAAAATGCATCCCTCAACCCCTTTCTCAGATGCCAAGTCCTTCCTATCCTGTCACCTTCTGCTTATTGTCGCCTCTTCAAAATGGCTTCCCTGACCACCAGTCTAAAGGTGCTCCCTGCACCCATCCTAGGGCCCCTCTCCCCATCACCCTGCTCTTCTCCTCATACTGATCGCCAACTGGAACCATATATTTCTTGGTAGGTTTACTTGTTCACTGTCTGCCTTTGTGACCACTGCATTCCCAGCACCTGGTCCTGGCCCTTCTGAAAGATATGGTGTTGTTGAAGGAAGAGGAAAGTAGGGATACAGAACCCAAAAACCAACCTCTCTCTAAAGCATCTGGGAGTGAGAGAGAAGGGTCAGGAATACACATTCTTTAGCTTCAGCAACTTAGAGAAAGTCATATCTGTAGCACTCAGGGTACCATGTGTCCACTGCTGGGTGACAGAGTAAAAAGGCCTCCTCTAGTAGGAGCCATCAGCCAGGCGTGCCTTTGGCAGTCTTTTAAACGTCCTCTGCCCCCACATACCCTGCCTGGCACACAAGATACAGGGAGAAAGAGTGGGAAGAATAGGACACTTCAAGACACCTTATTCACGGATCCTCAAAAGCAGAAAACGCCAGGATGAGCTTGATTTAAAAAAAGGGTATAGTGGTCATCCACAGTATGGGGACCAACCTTCCGCACGGACACACTCAAGAGAAAGGGGTGGGGACTCTTGGCAATGGTGGCAAAACTCCCCAAGTGAAGCCATGGGCTGATGGCTGAGGATAGCTTTTGGCTTTAGTTTCAGGATAAGAAAATATGTGTGGCCTGCAGCCTGGAGGCAGAGGAAAATCACAGTGTCTGCAGGCCCTTTCCCAGAGCTAAGAAGCCCAGACCCTGAAACCAGGCAGAAGCTTCCCAGTGTGGAGCAAAGGCACCATTCATTCAGGAAATCTATGCTGTGTTCCTCCCAGTGCCAGATATCCAGAGGTGGGGGATGGGCAATCTGGAGAGGAGGTCACAGCTCCTACTTCCAGCTGGTTACATGGGGAAGCTGGTCACAAAGGACTTAGAGAGTTCCTGTGAGGAGAAGAAGATGGCTTTTCTCATTACACTTCCACCAGCTGCTTCTCAGAACTGCAGCTGTGCTTCCAACTCATCCCCTCTTATAACACCCGTAAGGAAGTAATGTTCCTCTAACTGTGTAGATCCTTAGAGGGATAGGGAGGTAAGGGCAGTGTAGGAGCTGGAGTTCTCAGGTATTCCAAAGCCCCCGGAATGTCTCTAGTAGGCTGCTCTACAGCTTTGTCTAAGGCCCGATAGTCACAGGATTGGGAGTGAACTAATTTGAAAAGAGGATGTTTTTAGCCTAAGTTTTTCTCCAAATGAAAACTGATGACTGCCACGGGCCTCTCCTCTAACCCCTTCTGTATTTACAGTCTAGAATTTGAACAAAATAAATGCAGCTGTGAGACGCAGAAGACTGGAGTGCAGCCAGGAGGAAAGATCCATGCAAGGACAGAAAATCTCAGGGCCTAATTAAATCTTTGGCCTTTGATTTTTTTCAAACAAACACCAACTACTCCAACTGTGGCATATAAGGCTTGGCACCCCTCTCTGGCACTCAGAGCAGCAGGGGCAAGGGAAACCTTGGAACTCGATAGGCACTCTTAGCCTAGAGTCTTGGCCAAACTCTCAGAGTACTGTCTTTAATGGCAATTAGTTTTCTTTGTTTTTCTAAAAGCTGGGACCACATGGATGTTGGGCAGAGGAAAACTGATCTGACTAATGAGCAAACTGTGAAGCTAGGCTGATGGGAAGCAGCTGAACACCATCAGGTTTCACCTAGTCTCCAAAAGTGCCTGTGACCACTAGACAAGAACCTGCTGCTAGAGGAACAGCATGTTCTTGTTCTAGTAGGAAGGCTTGGAGTAGAAGGTTACAGTCCTGAGAATCCCCATGGGGCACAGAAGGATCCTGGGTAATCAGTCAGAGGACAAACTCTCCCAGGACATGAGGCTAGCAAAGTCTGGTCATTGACCTTTGGGCTTGCACTTCCTGCCCAGAGCACTAACACTGGGCCTCAAGTGCCCTTCTACCTTCTGTATCCCCTCCTGCCCACAGATACCAGGCAGGGCCTAAGGGCAAATGTGCTCCTGACACAGAGGGATGCCATGTCACTTGTCTGTCAGTGTCTCCAGGGTGCAAGTCAAAGCCATTCCTTCTCCTGCAGAGGAAGCCTGCCCTGCATGATCAGGGGAATTAGATTCCTCAGTCTTGGACTGGATTATTCTGTGGGAGGGGAAGGGAAACTTGTGGGCCAATGTCACACTGCAGCAATCACTGGTCACTGCTGAGGATATATCAGGGCTTTAAGCACTCCCAGTGCTCTACCACCAGTACAACTTCTGAGACAGAGGTCCGGACTCAGAGCTTGCAGGTCAGAAACTGGGCTGCATAATCCAAGCTCACCTTCTGCCCCGATGGAGACCAGCTTGACTCCTTTGCTAGCAATGAAGTCCAATGCTTTGTTCACATTGTTGATTTTGTGCACTCTCATCTTGCCCCGCTCTGGCTTAGGTAACCGCTCCCCTGAGAAAAAAGAGAAAAAAGGAAAGCTCTAGAGTCCCCATTGCTCCCCAGAACAGGCTGCCACAGCACTCTGGGCCCATCCCAAAGGCCTATGCTCAGACACACTGCTACCGGAGCCATATAAGCCTCACTTTTCCCAGCAGCAATGGGATAGATGGGGTGGGCCATATCCCAGGGACCGCTGTGACAGGTACCCGGTTCTGGGGGGGGTATGCTTTCTGAGAGAGGAGTCTCACCTGAGATGACCTCCAGGAGGAGCATGAGCTTGAGCCCATCTCGAAAGTCCTCATCGATGTTCTCGATCTGCGTGCCGGCTTTCCGCAGGTGGGAATTGCACCAGGCTGTGAAGGTCTAGGGAAGCAGAGCAGAGTGGCCAGGAGGGTCAACATGGCTGTTGGGGCTTCTAGCAAAAGGGCTGGGCCACAGCCCTGGGCTCCACCCGTTAAGTACACTGTTTCTAATATTTACAACGGCCTAGCAGGCTAATCTGAGGAAACTGAGGCTCAGGGTAATTACAGACCCACTAGCACAAACACCTAGGTGAAAAGTGGCAGAGCACAGATTGGAGCCCAAGTCTGCCACCCTTGGAACAAGTGCCCTCTCCAAGACACATCCTAAGCCTAGCACACGTAGCAGACAGAGGTGCCACAACCTGTGGTTTGCTTGTTCAATCACACAAACCTACCTTGACTAAGCACCAGGTCCAAGTGTGAAAACAAGAGGCAGGGGCCCTGCTCCTATAGAGCAGCGGTTGCCAACCATTAGGACCTCATGGACACCAGTGGTCGGTCCACAGACTACCGCTGCTGTAGAGCTATGTTCTCTTGGACAGACACAGCCAGCCCTCAGTCATCCAGTGGACTGACCAGATCTCAAGGACCAGCTAGTACTGCCTCCACCCACCTGCCCCTAAGGTAGAAGCTTGGGCAGCCACTTCCCCATCTCTGGTACAGAGATGACCTACGACAGTAAAGCCTCCTATAAATTCAAGGTTTTCTCATGTTAGTGTCCCTTGGGAGCTGTGGGTGGCCCACCAGCAAGCACCTCCTCTGTGCACATCCCCACAGTTTGTTTTCCTACAGGCCACATGTCCTCTATTCCTTGGGGAACATTCCACATCCCACCCTTCCAAATCTTAAGATCAACGTATCTTATAGAGGGGTGCAAGGCAAGTGCAGGCCTTCTCTTCCCCCAGTCAAACAACTGTTTCTGAGGAGGATGTTTCTGAGGATCACTGGGCATGAGAATGCTGGAAGGTGAAAGAGAATTAAGAAGCCCAAACCTGAACACAAAACACCCAAGTACAATGCACTTGTCCTTCTGGTGGTGGCCAGCCACTCAGCCCCTGCTAGTTGGGGCATGTTATCAGATGTCAGTGCCAGGGACACATGTCACACCAGTTAAGGTGGACATGCCCAGAATCCTGGGAAACCAGCCCACTCAGCCTCCCGAAGCAGTGTCTGGAAAAATCCCCACTCTGTTTCTCATAGGAACCTCTACCCTCCTCATTCTGCAGGAGCACACACTCCGTGGCCAGGTACAGGCAGAGGCCACGTGGAAGTGAGGGGCTTCCAAGGAGCCTCTGGCCAAACACTGTTCTGATAATGCCACCAGTCCTGCTCATTCAGAGGCTCAACACAGGGTCATTCCCAGACAAAGACGCTGCCTAATTAACATGCTGTATTACAATAGGGACCACAAGAGATTTCCTTCCAAACTTGAGTATGGGGAGGGAAGGGCATGAGACAGGATGGGATGGACTGCCGGTGGCCCAGGACTCCCCCGCCTGCCTCTTGACATGAATTCCTCTGCCTTGGAGACAAGAAAGCCCCTTCCTGTCTGAGGTTGTTCCCATTGCCTGGTTCCTGCTTCACCTTAACCAGCAGTTGCCTTTTCCTCAATCAGCCTGAAAGGCGGCTCCTCTGGGGGTGCCTGCACCAACTTACTTGCCCTGACCCGATTCTGACCTGGATGGCCCTTCCTCTGTGTCTGCTCTCTCAACAAGTATGCATTGTCTCCTGCCTCCCACAACCATGAGCTACTTTGAGCTCTGGCCACCAAGCAGGTTTTCGTTAAGGAATGTATGAATTTGCTTTCTCTACCCAATTTCCCACACTCCCCTTATGTAACTCTGAATTCAGACAAACCAGGGCTAGAATGCTAGTTACAGCTCTCACATGGGCAAGTTACCCATCCTAGCATCTGCTTCCTCATCTGTAATATGATGAAGATGGCATGGGGGTCATGGCAAGTGTGAGGATTCAAGGTGACAATGCCTGTAGAGTGCATAGCAGGTGCTCAAAAAATGTTAATACGTCCCTGTTCCTCTCCTGAAATCCTGCCCACCTCTTGCACAGAGTTACTTTCTCTGTACCCTGCCAGCCCTCATCAGTACACAGCCCTCACCATCTCTCTGACAGCCTCTTCCTCGTCTGGATCTCACTGGAGGTTTTGTGCACATGTGTACATTCCCATGGGATAGGAATTACCTCTCACATCTCAGATATTTTTATCTGAGCACAGCTGGTCTCAGTGGTGGGCAGTGAGTACACGATGGAAATCAGCTGACCTGTACTAGTAAAGCTAAGGGCAGTAGCAGGCAGGGCTAGGGCAGGAAATGACAGGGGATGCCAGAGCCTCTGATCTTGCATGTGCCTGATAGATGCGTTGGGCAATAAAGCAGCCAATCACATTTCATGACTGAGGATATAAGAGGGCGTTCCCAGAGGGCAAACCTTATTGGTGTTCTGCTGCTGCTGGGGCCAAGATCTAGGCACCTGCCGAAACTGGTTTGGCTCAGTGGATAGAGTGTCGGCCTGCAGACTGAAAGGTCCCGGGTTCAATTCCCGTCAAGGGCATGTATCTTGGTTGCGGGCACATCCCCAGTAGGGGGAGTGCAGGAGGCAGCTGATCGATGATTCTCTCTCATCGATATTTCTAACTCTCTACCTTTCTCTCTTCCTCTCTGTGAAAAATCAATAAAATATATTAAAAAAAAAAAAAAAAAAGATCTAGGCACCTGGTCTGCAAGCATGGCCGAGCAAGTGTCTCAATGGCAGCTCCATTGCCTGGGTTATACTTGCATGCTCTGAAGGGGCACAAATCTGGGTTTAAATGCCAGCTCCTCAACTTGTTCTGTGTTTCCAATCAAGTGATTTGACCTATTATTTGACCTTCTCTATAGGGTAAACTTACCTCTTGTAGTTGTTGTAAGATTAAGTTGGGGGAGAAGGGTAGCTTTAAAGCCTCTTACACAGGGTCAGCATGAAATGCCAGATGAGCCTGATTGGTGTGGCTCAGTTGGTTGGAGGGTGTCCTGCTCACCAAAAGATTGCTGGTTCAATTCCCAGTCAGGGCACATACTTGGGTTGTGGGGTGGGGCATGTGCAGAAGACAACCAATCTCTATCTCTCACTCTCTCTCTCTCTCCCTCTTTCTTTCCCCCCTTTCTCTGAGAATGTCCTCTGGTGAGGATTAAAAACACACACCTATCTATATAAAACTCTAATATGCAAATAGGCCGAATGGCAGAACAACTGGTCACTGACCACCAGGGGGCCTGCACGTGGAACATGGTGGACATCGACTGCAGTAAGATGGTGGAGCTGGTGAGCGGGGCGCCAGATTGAGGTGGGGCACCTGTTGCTGTCCTCAGGGCAAGCCTCTGGTAGTCACTGAAAATTCTTTGCTCCCACAAGCCACGGTCCCACCCAGCACTCATACCTACTGCTGGTGGTTGCTGGCCCCAATTGCCCTGGAGGGTTTTCCACCCTCCCCACACCCCCACTCCTGAGGAGTGATCAGGGCAGCAGCTACTGCTGGTGCTGGCCCTAATCTCACTGTCAGTGGGTGCAAGCAGGGCCAGCACCGTCAGTACATGGGAGCGGTGGCAGCGGGAGCTACCAGCAGACCCGAGACCAGGAGTCGAGGCAGGAGGGTCCAGCAGGGGCACAGAGGATGGACCGAGACCTGCCCCTATGCCCACTGCAGCCCCATAGCCCACAGTTCCTTACACAAACTCGTTTACCGGGCCCCTAGTAATAAATAAAGTGCCACATGAACTGTGTGAGTACACACATCCACACTGCTGCCTCCCTCTCTGCAAAGGCCCTTACCCCACCCCCATGGTTTGAAATGGAAATGAGATTACAGGAGATCCTCTCAAGATCCACCTCAACCTGTGGAGGCTTTGAACAAATCTCGCCTTGTTGGGTTCACACTATCTTTCCTCACAAGGTCACTGTACTACCCACCTCCAAACACATGTCCTATCTCTGTCCTTTGCTCATCTTCTCTGAGCAGTAAGCAAGTGCTCTGGCTTAGGACTCCCACAGACCTGAGTTCAAATCTTGTCTCTGCGATTGAGGCAATCTGTCAACAGTGTAATCTTGGGCAAGCAATGAGCCTTGGCTTCCTTGTTGAAGAAATAAAGACAACAATCTCTTCATTTAAATGAAGATCAGACAAAATAATGCAAGTAAATCACAGAGGGCTGTGCCTGGCACAAATTAAGTACTCAGTGCTACATACATGTCAAGAAAGATCTATTTTTAAATAAGTGGTAACTCTGCCACGTACTTGTCTCCCTGGCTAGAAGCAGGCAGAGTCCCAAGCAGAACACTGAGCAGGTATGTGGGGAAAATATCCACTCACCTGGCCTAGGTGGTGAGTAGGAAGAACTCCCTCCCAAACCTGACAGACACAAAACGGAACTCCGCCCACAGGTTTCCCCACCTCAATCCATGCTCATGATGGCCCTGTTTTCTCTCCTGAAAATTGAGAGGTGTCTACTGACACTGGAGACTGATGGAGCCCTGAGCTCTGGGCAAGAAGAGCATGACCTTGTGAGGCCATCTTCAGGGAACCACAGAAGGCCACTTTCCCATACAGTATGACTAGTGAATAGGAGCTGGAATACAAAGATATTAAAAATTTATAGCTTTTTCTAGTTGGTTACAAAAATAACATTCTGCTTATACATTCTTCCTACCTGGATTTAGACTAAGATGTGTGGAGTGGATAGTACTGAGGGGTAGTTTCTACAGATGAAGGCCTCATAATCAAAATCCAGCTATGCAAAATTCTCAGTCTGACTGATGAGTCCCAACCTGCTCCCATACCCCAGGCCACTGTGGGGTTGGTACACATCCATTCCCCCACAAGCATTTGCTGAGTGTCAAGCCAGGGCCAAGCCCTGTACCAAGTACATAGTGAGCCATATCAGACACAGACTGCACTCTATGTAGTTCCCAGTCTGATGAGGAACAGGATCTCATTAATCAAGCAAATACTCAATACAGAAGGAAAAGTGATAACAGTAATAATAACCATAGCAGATGCTTCTATAGAGC